AAAAAGAAAAAGAAAAGAGAGAAAAGGAAAGGAAAATAAAAAGGGAAGAAGGTAAAAAAGTAAAAGAAAAGAAAAAGAAAAGAGAAAAGAAAAAGAAAAAGAAAAAAAAGAAAAAGAAAAAGAAAAAAACAGAAGTTGATTCACAAATAAAGGAAGAAAAAAGCAACTTCAGGATCTCGTTTTTACCCCAGGGGTCCCCTGATTCTTCAAGGAAAGGGGAAGCCAGAGCCTAGGTGGAGATTTCTGCCTGTCCCCATCACCTTGTTGATGCACAAAACTGCTCCTGGTGCATCCCAGTCCCTGCTAAACGTCCTGCCAAAATCGCCGTGGATCGGTGGCGGCACCCTCCCAAGCTGGGAGGGCTTAACGTTATGGTTTTGTCCTCAACATTATGGTTTTGGAGGCTCCATACGTGCCTGTCCACCACCACCACCATAGGAGCCATCGGTGGCCTTCGCCGCGTGGCGCTGGGCTCCTCTGGGCCAAAAAATAAATCAAACGTGGCTAGGGAAAGGGAAAAAACGGGTGAATTTTCAAGGAAGGGGAGAGCTAAAATGCAGGCAAGGATTTTTCTCCGTGGAGGAGAGAAACGAACGGCTCCTGGCAGCGGAGGGTAAAGCTGCAAATCTGGGGGGATTTTGGAAACCCCCGGGATGGGGATAAGGGTTTGATGTTGTCCAGATTGAAATATGAATTGCTCCTGTATTTGAAATATGAATTGCTCCTGTTTTTAAGGACCAAACACGATTTTGGGAGACTTCAGTGAGGCTTGAAACTAAGTCCATATTCACAGCAAGTCCTGTGTCCCCCCAAATCACCTGCTTCCCCCCAAAATCCCCCGTAATCCCCCAAAACTGAGCAGGGTTGCAGCCCCATCGCACCACCGGCTCTTTGCCCACCCAGCTCCGGGCACGGGGGTGAAAAGAGGGCTGTGAGGCTGCGCCCTAGTCCCCCTGTCCCCATGCTCCCATCCCCCTTTTTGTCCCCTCCACCACCCCCACCCCAATTTCAGGCGGGACAAAACTCATCACAGCGGTGGCTCGTGGGCTTCGGTCCTGGCTCAGCGCTGCAGGCACCCTGGAGCTCAACACAACCATTTTCTCTACATTTCCTCCTTTTTTTTTCACCAATTTTCCACCCAGATCCCCCCCCAGCCCTGATTTTTTTTGCCCTTTCACCCTACTCAGGGCAATAATTCCTACAAGCAGGAGCACGGGGACCACCTGCATTCACGCGCCCGCGCCGTGCCAAAAAACCCACCACCCCCCCTTCCTCACGGAGCCCCCACCCTCTGCAGCCCCCGACCCCGCTGCCGTGTCCCCCTTGGGGAAAGCCAGCACCCACCCCCTCCCCAAGGTGCCCCATCCCTGGGGTGCCCCCCAGTTGTCTGTAGGGCCTGGGGACCCCCCCCTTCAGGAGCCCTTCCATGGTTCGGCTTCCTCTAGATGTCACCCTCAGCCGCCTCTTCCGTCGCTGCGATTTTCCTTTCTCCAAGATCCTGCATTTTTTTTTTTTTTTTTTTTTTAAATTCCTTTCTGATCTCTTTCCGGCCATGTGTGATTGCAGTTTCCTCTGGGCGTCCATTTCATCAGCCCGAAATTAAGGAGCGGAGAAGGGGCAGCGGGCGACCGGCGAGAGCGAACCTCCCCCCCCCTTTCCTATCCCCTCACCCCATCCCAAAAAAAAAAACCAAACCCACCACCCGCATCCCACCCTGGGGGGTCCCCGAAGACCCCACACCCTAAGCCGGGCACCCCAAACCCCTCGCCTCCCCTCCTCACCCCTCTTTGCACGGAGGCCGGGGATCCTCCGGCTCCTCTCCGCTTGCTTTTGGGGTGACTTTGCTTTTTTCGGGGCGCTCGCTCCCGCGGCCTTTTTTTGGTTTTTTTTGCCACCCTCTCCTTTTTTTTTGCCCCGCTGAGGTGTCCGTCCCCGAGGCCTTGAGGTGGCCGGATGGTTTGTAGCCCTCCGGCTCTGAAACCGTCCCCCGTCTCTCCTCGCCACCGCTGGATGCTAACGCCGGAGCCGGGGCCGCACGGCGAAAAGGTCGCGGCGCCTCCAACCCGAGCCTCCCACCCCGACGACGCCGGGGGAATCGGCAGCAGAGGAAACCCGTGCTCGGAGCAAATCCCCCGGGAGGCTTCGTTTTTTCCCTTTCATGCATGAGACAACTCTGCGGCTCCGGCGGGCGATGGCCACGCAGTGAAGATGTCCGTCTCCAGGCTCAACAGCGTCAATGGCTTTTTGGAGGACGGCAGGATGGAGGCGGGGGACATGGGCAGGATCCTCCGCTGCCTGGAGATGGGCACCGTCCTCACCTTGTTCTACCAGAAGAAGTCGCAGAGGCCGGAGCGAAGGACCTTCCAGGTGAAGCTGGAAACCCGGCAGATCATCTGGAGCCGGACGCCTGAGAAGGTGGAAGGGGACAGTGAGTATCGGTGGTGGCGGCTGGGGATGGGTTGGCGGGGTGCGTGGTCCCCGTGGGATGTCCTGCCCTGGTGGGATGTCCAAATGTGGTGGGATTCCTGGGTTTGGGGTGCCTGGCCATACTGCGATGTCCTACCATGGTGGGATGTTCTACCAAGGTGGGATGTTCTACCTTGGTGGGATGTTCTACCCTGTTGGGATGCCCAAATGTGGTGGGATTCCTGGGTTTGGGGTGCCTGGCCATACTGGGATGTCCTACCATGGTGGGGTGATCTGCTGCAGTGGGGTGCGTGGCCGTGGTGAGATGTTCTACCCCAGTGGGATGCCCAAATGTGGTGGGATTCCTGGGTTTGGGGTGTCTGGCCATACTGGGATGTCCTACCATGGTGGGATGTTCTATTAGGATGGGATGTTCTACCATGGTGGGATGCCCAAATGTTGTGGGATGCCAGGCTTTGGGGCACCTGGCCATACTGGGATGTTGTACCATGCTGGGATGTTCTACCCCGTTGGGATGCCCAAATGTGGTGGGATGCCAGGCTTTGGGGTGCCTGGCCATACTGGGATGTCCTACCATGGTGGGATATCCTACTACAGTGGGATGTTCTACCATGGTGGGATGTTCTACACCAGTGGGATGCCCAAATGTAGTGGGATGCCAGGTTTTGGGGCACCTGGACATATTGGGATGTCCTACCATGCTGGGATGTTCTACCATGCTGGGATGTTCTACCCCATTGGGATGCCCAAATGTGGTGGGATTCCTGGGTTTGGGGTGTCTGGCCATACTGGGATGTCCTACCATGGTGGGATATCCTACTAGGGTGGGCTGTTCTACCACAGTGGGATGCCTGGCCATGGTGGGATACCCAGAGGTGTAAATGCACTCGCCTCCTCCATCCCAGCTCCCCTTGGCCCTAAATTGCCATGGGGCTTGAACTGCTGCCGTGTCCGTCCTGGGGTTTGATACCTTAGAAAGGGGGTAAAGGGACCATCTGCTGCCTCGCCTCCTGGGGGTGTTTTTAACCCCCAAACTGGCACCAGACCTCGCTGCCCATGGGGTTCTCGGGCTCCTGGGGAAGGCAGGCCGGGTGGGGTGGTCCCACGGGGCTGAAATGCAAAATTTGGGTGATGCCCAGGCTGGTGGGGACTGGAGGCAGCAGGGACCCATCAAATCACCCTTTGGGGAGAGGGGATTTGGGGGCTGAGGGTCAGTTTGTGGGGTGTCACCAAGCATAAAGGGGCACAGGAGGGGACCGGCTGGTCCCTCGTGGCCGGCTGATGTCCCCTGCAGGTTTGTTCCCCCGTGGCCTTTGTAGGGAAGAGCTCGTTCCCTGCTCGCGGAAATAGCGCCTTTCCGGCTCCTTGTTTTTATTCGGGAGCACCGCACACAGCCAGGTCGGGAACTCGGCGCCGCTTTCCCCTTGCCATCGATCTCCTGCCTCAGTTTCCCCAATCAGTGCCCGGCCTCTCCCACACAACAACCCAAAATCTCCCTCTGGGAGTGCGTGAGCGTCCTCTGAGGTCATCCAAGAGGGGGGAAAAAAAAGGGAAAACCCCTAAAAATGTTATAATCCTTCCATCCAACCCCACCACCTGCTTCCCCAGCGGGGCTGGGGGCAATCCCAGTCCTGGCATGGGGCTGGAGCACCTTCACCAACCCGCTCCAGCCCCATTTGGGATTTTTTCGGAGGCTCTGGGACCTTCAGCTTCGCTCCCGAACCTCACGCCTGCCCGGGCCATTTCAAATCCTCTCTTCTCACCCGGCTTGAGAAGGGATTAGCGAGACAACCGACGGAGCTGATGTCTCTGTTAGGAGGCAGGACGGGGATCCTGGTTCTGCTGGAGATGCCCCTGCGCCCTGCAGGCTAATTACACGCTTCGTTAAGCTGCTGTTAAGACGCGTGGCCACGCGGATGGGGTCCCCCCCGGCGCGGCAAGGAGATGCAGCTTCAAGGTTAAGAGCTACAGGGGAGCGTGGTGTCCGGCTTTGCCTCCAAAATTCGTCTCTTCCCAGGTTGTTTCCAGTCCCTGGCAACCCCAAAAGCATTTTGGAGAAGTGGTTCGCAGCTTGGTGATGCCTAACAGGGACTCACCCCTTCGTCCTTGCTAACGCCAGATGATTAGAAATGGGATGGTTTTGGGGAGGAGAAAACCCAGGTTTGGTTTCACACCTCTGGCCCGGGAGGAAATCTTTTATTTCAGGTTTTAAATCAGCTCCTCAGCCTCACAGGGAGCCCTCGGGGACGTGGCCGCCCGGTCCTTCGCACAGGGGATCCCACAGGAAGGACCAAGGCGACCCCGAGGGGACACAACTCGGCCACCCCGTGGCACGTCCCAGGCCAGCGGCATCCCTCCAGACACCTTGGTTTGCTTTCCCCTCCTGCATTTGGGAAACTCTCAGGCTCTCAGCCTGGCTAAAATCTGCTGGGCAGACCCTGGCCCTACACCACCCGGGAGCCACGGTCGCCCCTAGATGTAAAGCCTTTGCAACGTGCTGCTCGCTTTGCATGAGAAGAGAGGAGGGATTTTCGCAGCTGGAACTGGCTTCCAGCATGTTTTAATCACCGGGACCCCGGAGACAATGCAGGGAGGAGTTTGGAGACATACTTCTGCCATGATCGCTGCAAATCCGCTGCAGATGTGGTTTCCAGGAAGCCGCCGGCGCGTTGCATTGTGCTGCACACTGCTCCCTCGCCGGGAGGCTGGGGCCAACACCGGGTCCTGGCTGCGTTAGCCCCCGTCGGCAGAGCCCCCAGCATCTCACCCCGCTGCCGTGCCCTGCCACGGGCACGTTTGGGGACACACACCCGGTTCCTATCCTACAAAAGGGTGTCTGGCCCCAAATATCCACCCGGTTGAGCTCAGGACGCCACCGTAAGTTAGCTTTGAGCCATGAGCCACGGGGCTGCGCACGGAGGGAGGCACCCAGCTTTCGTTTCCCAAAATCTCACGCCTGGGTGCAGACCCCCCTGAGCATCGTTTTGCCGCCGAGCGCTCACAGCCTGCCCTGGCCCGCGAAAGTTGGCTCGCGTTCCTCCCGGAGAAGGCTGGATAAAGCCACCAGTGTTTTCCAGAGCCTTTTCCGCCAAGAAAAACTACCCCGCACCTCTTTTCCCTCTGCCTTTCTCCCCCATCCCTTATCCTTCCACACCTCCTCCAGCTTTTTCCCCTCCGCTCCGGCACCCTGCGCTCCAGCCCCACCGCCACGTAGGAAGCAGCCGGAGCCGGGCTGGAAATTCTCCGGGAAATGACCCATTTCCTGCAGGACAATGACCCTGCGTGGTGTCCGGCCACCCTCAGCCACACAAAGCCCTTTTTTCCGGAGCCCGAGCTCTGCCTGGGAGCAATGCCCGTGGGAAGAGGGATGGGTTCAAGTGTCAGAATCGATCCCCGAATATTATTATCCCGCTCCATCCCCGAATTTTATTATTCTGCTCCCACCACCGGACGTGTCCTCTGGGCGCAACCAAGGGGGGATGGAAATCCCCCTTTTGGCAACGTGGTGGTGAGGAAGACCACGGTCCGGAAACCCAGCCCTCCTGGCTTTATATAGCGAGATAATGAGAGAGCAGCGCGGCAGGAAAGAAACGCCCTGTGGTCCGGGCTGCAAATTGCCACCTTTGGGCAAAAGTCTTCTATTAAAAGATGAGCTCGGCCCGTCCCAGAGCTTGGGGTTTTGTCTCAAAAGAGGGGAAGGCGGCTGGAGGGATTGTAGGGCCAGGATGGGAAAGGCTGAGCTGGGAGGAGACGTGGCACCCGCAGAGCGGGGAAAGTGGTGGTGGGGAGCACCGTGGGGACACCCCTTCCTGGGGACACCCCTTCCTGGGGACACAGGTCCCTGGAGGATTCACGGGACCCTAGCACCAGTGGGCAGTGCCACCAGGATGTCCCTGAAGGACACGTGGCACCCACGGTGCCATCACACTAGTGGACACGTCACTGCAGGGCTGTGGGGACATCTCCCTTGGGGGACACCCAAAGTGCCATGGGGATGTCCTCTCCTGGGGACAAGGTTCCCCAAAGGACACGTGGTTTCTACACAGTCCCACCTCCCACAGCCTCCCCGAGCCCCGCGCGTGGCTCCGCGGTGGCAGGGTGGCAGGGGACAGTCCCGTGTCCCCTCTGTCCCCGCAGTCGACATTCGGGAGATCAAGGAGATCCGCCTGGGGAAGAACTCGCGGGACTTTGAGCGCTACCCCGAGGACGCCCGCAAGCTCGACTTCACCATGTGCTTCATCATCCTCTACGGGATGGACTTCAGGCTGCGGACGCTCAGCGTGGCCGGTGCGTGGTCCCCGCTCTCCCTGTGGCCATCCTGGGGGGTGCCGTCTCCCCCATCCCGTTTTCACCACCCTCTCCTCTTCCTCCTCCAGCTTTCTGCGAGGAGGACATCAACCTGTGGATAACGGGCCTCAACTGGCTGGTGGCGGACACCCAGAAAGCCCAAACCCCGCTGCAGATCGAGAGGTGAGGAGGGACGGTCGGTCCCGTTTCTTGGGTCCCCATTTGGGGGTCTGGAAGGATGAACCCCACCCCCTGGGTACGGTCCCCCAGGCTGAGCGCTGTCTGTTTGTCCTTCCCTTCCTCCCAGGTGGCTGAGGAAACAGTTTGATGGGATGGACCGGTCACGGGAAGGCAGGTGAGCACCATGTGGGGAAACATGCTGATGGGCTCAGCATGCAATGGCCAAAATGTCCCTGTCCTCCTTCTTTCAGGGATGTTTTGCCAAAGGGCAAAAGTTTGGGAAATGCCAAAATGCCGCAACGCCCTGGCCTCATCCTGCAAGGCTTTGCTGGCCTTGGATGTGGCCAAATCCTCCCAACTGTGCCCCAAATCCAGAGGATTTAAGCAGGGGATGTGGGGAGAGGCAGTGTTGGTTTATTTGGGGTGCCCAAAGGCACCTAAAAACAGTCTGGAGTGCGGGTCCCTTCCTTGCTGCTGTAGGGACAGCAGGAACCCAAATGTCCCCATGCCCGCTGCAGCACCAGGAGGGGATGGGCCGTTAATGCAGCCCATAAAAATCCTGTTGATACAGTAAAAAAACGAATAAACAAACAAAAACCACAAAGCAAGGGAATGTGGACTTAATTATGACGATGGGGATAGGGATAATTACGGTATCCAGATGTGACAGATGCCCAGCAGCGGTGTCCCCATCCCCAACCTTCTGCTCAGGGCTCTCACGCTCGCACCAGACCCTTCTAAATTATAAAGAAAAAAGGCCAAAATGCTTCTTCTAAAAAATTAGGGATCACTGTGCACTTGTAGGGATCCATAACCTGGCAGAGTGGGAACCCCAAGACAGAGCCAGGGCTGGTGCTGGGATTTGGGGTCAGTCTGGGGGCTCCGTCCTTTGTGGGTGTCCCCTGGGGTCCCACTGCCCTGACACCAGCTCACCCTCCCGCAGCATCACGGTGAAGGACCTGAAGGCCATGCTGCCCCAGGTGAACTACCGCGTGCCCAACATGAGGTTCCTGCGGGACAAGCTCGTGGTAAGACCCACAATTTGTGGGGAACGGGGCTTCGAGTCCCCACAACAGGGCTGGAAACGGCCCCGCTGTCACTGGATATCCCTACCCCAACCCCTCTTTCTCACACCCTGCCCCACAGGAGGTGGAAGCCAGGAACGAGATGACCTTCTCCCACTTCATCCAGTTCTACAAAAACCTGATGTTCGACGCGCAGAAGTCGGTAAGAGCCGCGATCCGTCCCCCCGAGCATCCCTACCCCGCAGCGCATCCCCGGCTGCGCCCCCGTTCCCTTTTTCGTCTCAGCCCCGTTTCCCTTTTGCCTTGCAGGTCATCGAGCAGCTGGAGCTCTCCTTCCCCCTGCGGTGAGTCCCGGGAGCCCCACGGCTCCCATCCAGCCCCACCACCAAGGGTGGGAGCTGTCAAGGGGGGAAAACCCGGGGATAGAGGAGGTCCCGGTGGATGCACGCATCCCTGGAGCATCGCCCAGTGCCCGGGGTGCAGGGAGCGGGGAAGACAAACGTGGTCTGAGGGGCAGGGATGGGAGAAGGGGTGAGAGAAAGGATGGGAGTGGAAACGTGAGTGCAAATGGAGATGGGAGCAGAAACGAGAGCAGGGACGCTCACCCCAAATTCTTCGCTCTGAGGGCGGTGAGGGACTGCAGGGCCAGGGGATGCGGTGATGTGGTTTGGCGCCTGCTTCCCCACATCCATGGGCATCCTCGTGCCCACCTCTCCTGGGTCATGGGGAGCCACTGGGAGTGTTTGCACGGCCAGCACCCAGCAGCTCAGGCTTCCCCTGGGCTACTCTTTCCCAAATCCCTTCCCCAGCTTCTGCTGCGGGCAGGAGCAGGGCAGGAGCCGGGGACATCAGGGGCTGAGCCGCGGGTGGGCAGCAGTGGCATCTGCCCCGACTTCTGCACCCAGTTCCCCTGACGGCTCCTCTGTGCCCCAGGAACGTGGATCGCCCTGAGCTCTGCCAGGTCTCCCTCTACGACTTCCAGAAGTTCCTGCTGCACGACCAGAAGGTTGGTTGCCCTTTGAGACCCCCCCCCGGCGACCCTTTTCGGTCCCAGTCTCGAGGATTCCCATGGGATGCCCCAGCCCAGCTGCTGCTCCGCCGTGGCTCCCCCTGTAACGGCAGCCGTGTTTGCACCCCCCAGGAGCCCTGGGCCAGCGACGTGGGCATGGTGCGGGACTACATGTGCTCCTACCTCAAGGATGGCTCCAACGATGCAGCAGACCCCTCCTTCCAGCTGGATGAGGTGGGTGGCCCCGTGCGGCACCTGCCCCATGAGACCTCCTCATCCCCAGCGAGCCCTGACCTCTCTGCTTCCACCCCCCCAGTTCCTCACCTACCTCTTCTCCAAGGAGAACATGGTGATGGACCCCAAGTACGAGCGCGTGGTGCCCGAGGAGATGAACCACCCTCTGTCCCAGTACTGGATCTCCTCCTCCCACAACACGTAAGGATGGGGTGGGCTCACTTCGGGGACCCCCACCAGCATCCCCTCCTGGCCAGGGCAGCCCCAGCTGCTGAGCATCCCTCTCGCTCCTCCGCAGGTACCTGACGGGGGACCAGTTCTCCAGCGAGTCCTCCCTGGAGGCGTACGCCCGCTGCCTGCGCATGGGCTGCCGCTGCATCGAGCGTGAGTCCCACTTGCACCCCCCCCAGCACCCAAAATTGCATCAGGTGGACCATCCCGCTCACCCATCCCATGGCAAAGGGGAGAGGGGAGCCTTCCAATTTCTTTTGGGGTCCCAAAAACATCGTTCTGGTGCACAGTTAGTGGCCGGCATGCGTTAACCAAGGTGTCTCCCCGTTCAGTGGACTGCTGGGATGGCCCGGATGATCTTCCCATCATCTACCACGGCCACACGCTCACCTCCAAGATCAAGTTCCTGGATGTGCTGCACACCATCAAGGAGCACGCCTTTGTCACATCCGAGTAAGCCCTGGCTCCCCCGAGACAGACCAGTTTTTGACTGCTCAAATTCCCCTTCTCCTTCGTCTTCATCCCAAGCCACCTTTCCCACCTGCTTCCTCCAGGTTCCCCATCATCCTCTCCATCGAAGATCACTGCAGCATTGTCCAGCAGAGGAACATGGCTTCGCACTTCAAGAAGGTCTTCGGGGACATGCTGCTCACCAAGCCGGTTGACATCAACGCCGATGAGCTGCCCTCACCCACCCAGCTCAAGAAGAAGATCCTAATCAAGGTGTGGAGCCAGGCACCACCCCAAAGCCCTTGTCTGCAGGAGGGTCAAAGGCTGTATTGGGCTGGGGGACAACCCTAAATCTTGGGGCTTAGAAGCAAGCTCTAAGCTCTGCAGGGAATGGGAGGTGGTGGTGATGGTGGACCTGTGGATACTTAGGGCTGGGATCTCAGCTTGATGGGGACACCATGCCCCCTGCTGAGCTCCCATTCCTGGCCTGTCCCCAGCACAAAAAACTGGTCGAAGGGAACCTGTATGAGGAGGTCTCCACGGCCAGTTACTCAGAGAACGACATCAGCAACTCCATCAAGAACGGCATCCTCTACCTCGAAGACCCCATCGACCACGTAAGTGTCTCTGCCGTTGATGGCCGGGGGCAGAGCAGGACCTGTCAGATGGGGATGCCCTAGCAGGGGAGAGCACCAAGCTTTGGGGTGGGCGTGGGGTACTGGTGCAACGCCACATGGAGGGATGCAAGGCAGAAACGGGGGTCTCAAATCCCTGTGCCTCCATGCCACCATCCTTCCTGTCTTGGTGATGCTCTTCCTCCCTCCCAGACCTGGAGCCCACATTATTTTGTCCTGACGAGCAACAAGATCTACTACTCAGAGGAGACGTCCCGCTACCAGTTCAATGAGGATGAGGAGGAGGTGGAGCAGAAGGAGGTGCGTGGGGGGCAGAATTTCCAAAAGAACGGGGAGAAGGTGGAAATACCCTTCTCGATGGCAGCTGCTCCAGAGGACACTGACCTTGGGGTATCTCTGGTCTCCATGTGGACTTGCAGGAGTTCAACAACAACGAGCTGCACTTCACGGAGAAGTGGTTCCACGGGAAGCTGGGAGGTGGCCGCGATGGGAGGCAGATCGCCGAGAAACTGTTGCACGAGTACTGCACCGAGACGGGCGGCAAGGACGGCACCTTCCTGGTGCGCGAAAGCGAGACCTTCGTGGGCGACTACACCCTCTCCTTCTGGTAGGAGGCCTGGTCTTGTCCCCATCAGGATCACACCTTCCCCAGGCCACCAGGCATCTGGTGGCTGCCTCCAGCAGGCCCCATTTTTGGAGGCAGAAATGAAGTTTTGAGGGAAAAGCCACCTTTTTGAGCATTGTGGTGCCCTGAACCTGATTATCCCCAAGCACAACGTGTCGTGGTCATGGATATGAATTGACTCGCTCCCATCTTGTCTCCCCATGGCAGGAGGTCGAACCGCGTGCAGCACTGCCGGATCCACTCGCGGCAGGAGGCTGGTGCCACCAAGTTCTACCTGACGGACAACCTGGTCTTTGACAGCCTCTACAGCCTCATCTGCCACTACCGCGAGGTGCCGCTCCGCTGCAACGAGTTCGAGATGCGCCTCACTGACCCCGTGCCCCAGCCCAACGCCCATGAGAGCAAAGAGTGAGGGTGAAACCTGGCCCCTCGGTCCCTTGGGTCCACCATCCTCTTTCACCACATGTCCCACTCTTGGTTCCACCATCCTCTTCCACCATGTGTTTTGGGTCCACCATCCTCATCCACCATGTGGTCTACCCTTGGGTCCACCATCCTCTTTCACCACATGTCCCACTCTTGGTTCCACCATCGTCTTCCTCCATGTATTTTGGGTCCACCATCCTCTTCCACCACGTGTCCCACTCTTGGTTCTACCATCCTCTTCCACCATGTGTTTTGGGTCCACCATCCTCTTCCACCACGTGTCCCACCCTTGGGTCCACCATCTTCTTCCACCACTTGTCCCACCCTTGGGTCCACCATCCTCTTCCACCACTTGTCCTGCCTCGGGTCCACCATCTTCATCCCTCTCCGTGCTGGCTCCGATACAGCTGGTGTCACATTTGGGGTGCTCCCTGGGATGCGGGGATGCCATTGCCAGCCCTCTGCCTCCTTGTTGTGCCTGCCCAGGTGGTACCACGCCAGCCTGACGCGCCTGCAGGCTGAGCACATGCTGATGCGAGTCCCGCGGGACGGAGCCTTCCTGGTGCGCAAGCGCAGCGAGCCCAACTCCTACGCCATCTCCTTTCGGTGAGTGCGGCCATCCCGGCACTGGGGAGCACTGGGCTGTACTGGTGGGACCTAGCCCAGGGCCCTGAGGAGAGGCTGTGAGAGCTGGGGCTGCTCGGCCTGGAGAGAAGGAGGCTCAGGGGAGCTCCCCCACATCTCCGTGGCCCTGTAGGGTGCGAGGGGCCAGGGCCGGGCTCTGCTCAGGGGGGCCTGGGGCCATCAGTGGAGGCCGTGGGCCCAGCCTGGAGCCCTGGAGGCTCCCCCTGGCCCCCAGCAGCACTGTTGGGCCAGGAGGGTGCCAGAGCCCTGGCACTGGGACCAGGAGCTGGGGACTCCTCTTTGGGGGCTCCCCGAACCCACCAGGCCTCAGGGCTGGGCACCCTGCTGTGGCAGGGGTTGACCTGATGGCCCTGAGGTGCCTCCAACCTCCATCACTCCGTGCTTCTTTGGGGACACCACGTCTGCGTGCTGCCCCCATGGGTGGGACACCCTGGCTGTGGTGACGGTGAAGCCACGTCCTCAGGGCTCTCACACCAGCAGCACCCCACACCGATTTGCCTCCTGCCTGTCCCCCCTTTCTTGAGGTGGGGTCCGGCCACCCCTCACGGCTTCCCCCACTGGATCTCTTGGCCCCAGGGCGGAGGGGAAGATCAAGCACTGCAGAATCCAGCAGGAGGGCCGGCTCTTCATGCTGGGCAGCTCGGCTGAGTTCGAGAGCCTCGTGGACCTCGTCAGCTACTACGAGAAGCACCCGCTCTACCGTAAGATGAAGCTGCGCTACCCCATCAACGAGGAGACCCTGGAGAAGATGGGCACCACCGTGAGTGTCCCCCGTTGGGGACAACGGGGAGGGTTTTTTTTTCCATGCCATGCAGTCCATCCCCATCTCCATCAAGGTGGGAAGATCTCCAGCTGTCCCAAATCTTTGGGACAACAAAGATTTGCCCAAAGGTCAACCCAAACCAGCTAATTTGTAATCTACTGCCATTGCCCCTGGCTATGGCCAGGCATCTGTGCCAAACTTAAGTCCCCTTCGATGAGTTTTAAAGGTTCATTGGGTCCTTGGCAGCCTCCTCTTGGCCACCCATGGTGGCCCAACGTCATGAGTGTTCCCTCAGTGTCCCCACAGCCAGGTGACCTGCCTTGATGTCTCTCCTTGCAGGAGCTGGACTATGGAGCTCTGTACGAGGTGCGGACACCCCACTTCTACGTGGAGGCCAACAAGATGCCGATGGCCAGGGTAAGAGGCTGAGCTGGTGTCCCCAGGAGGTGCAGGGTGGTGGGACATAGCGATTCTGGTGCTGGGGCTCCTGGAGGGTTCCTCTACCACATCTCCCACCATGAACCTGAGCAAGCCCCAACAGCAAGGTCACCTTGATGGGTCCCCTTGCACTGGGGAGAACCCAAAAAGGAGTGCCAACCCTGGGTCACGACAACCCCCGTGCATCATTGTGGGGGCTGAGTGAGCAGCGCTGCCCATCAGCATCCCCAAACTGGGCATCCCAGGCTGGGTTGTGACACTTGTGTCCCTCTCCCTGGTGGCCTAGTGCACGGTGAAGGCTCTTTATGACTACAAAGCTCAGCGGGAGGACGAGCTGTCGTTCTGCAAGCAAGCCATCATCCACAACGTCGACAAGCAGGACGGGGGCTGGTAAGGGTGGTCCAGTGCCCTGGGCGGGCAGGGGCGGTGGGTTTTCCTGCGGGTCTTCCTGTGGTGTGGTGGGTTTTAACAACCTTCTTTTCTGTCCCTCCTCCCCCTTCCTTCCTTCTCCAACTGCTCCCCGACATCGCATGCGGCGTTAACACCCCCTGTTCCCCCAGAATTTGTCCGCTTGCCTTGATCCTCTCACCCCTTGCAGGTGGCGGGGGGACTACGGGGGCAAGAAGCAGCTGTGGTTCCCGGCCAACTACGTGGAGGAGATCGTCAGCACGCAGGCGCAGGAGCAGGATGAGGCTGTGAGTACGATGTCCCCATGTCACCTCCCTTCTCCAATGCACCTGGGACCAAAGCCACCTGAGATGCTTCCAACACCAGTCCAGCCCAGACCCTTCTCTGGAGGCTGTGGGGTGCTCCATGCTGTGTTTTTTGTTGACTTTTGCTCAGACTTGGCCAATTTGGAGGGTTGGATGGAGGCTCGGCCACCACCTACCTCTCCCTCTTCTTTCTTCTCTTGCAGTCATCCGAAAACAGCCCCCTGGGGAACTTCCTAAAGGGCTTCATCGACGTGCCATCCTGCCACGTGGGTGAGTGTCCCCAGCATGTCCCCAATAAGCCTGGGGGGACATCCTGGGGTGGTGCGTGCCCCAAGCTGGAGCTCAGCACCGTGTGCTGAGGCTCTCCAAACTCATCACACACATGGGGGTGGCTGGTGGTGAACCCCTTGCTGATGGGCACGGGCAGCTCTGGCAAGAGGCACGGCTGGCAAAAATATCCAACCACAGGGAAGGAGAGGCCTCGTGCTTGGCATGATGTGCTGGGGGCAATTTTGAGCTGATTTCAGAGGGATTTGGCTGATTTGGGAAGGATTCCGAGGGATTCAGAGGGCTGGATGGTTTTGGGGGGGGGGATATTTACCCCTGGCTCAAAGGAAAATGCATTTTGGAGTGAAAAGCTGAAACCACAAAAAGGGGCGAAAGAGACCATTTTGGGTTGCTGCTTTCACTTCCAGCACATTTTCAGGGACTGACCACAGTTTGATGGGTGTTTGGGGTTGCCTTGCCCACCTTGTGCTTCTCATCGATTCGCAATTTTGGGGAGGACCCTCAAAAGGAGGAGGATCCCGGCGGGTGCTTGGGGAGGGCTGGTGGGGACCCAGGAGCAGGACCGCTGAGGTTTCGTTTGCTCCACAGAGCCATCCGTTGGGAATGTCTTCAAGTAAAGCCCCCCCTCTGATGTCCTTATAGTTATCTCCAAAGACGGGAGGAGCTCCAAACCATTTGTCTTCACCATCCATTCCCAGCAGATGTCCCACGCAGCCCAGTCGCTGGACGTGGCCGCGGACACGCAGGAGGAGCTCAGCGAGTGGGTGGCCAAGATCCGAGAGGCCACGCAGAACGCCGACGCCAGGGTGAGGGGCCCCGGGGTGCAGCCGGTGGGAGAGGGACATCCTTGTCCCCAGGGGATAGACGCTGGGTGGTGGTGGACGTCCTATCCCGTGGTGGGCAGAGGATGGATGAACGATGGTGGTGGACATCCCCATAGCCTGGTGGACGGTCCCCGGTACCCTTGAGGAGAAAGAGTTTCAAATCCTGTTTTCCCTCGTGCAGATGCAAGAGGGGAAGATCATGGAGCGGAGGAAGAAGATTGCCCTGGAGCTCTCCGAGCTGGTCGTGTACTGCCGCCCGGTGCCGTTTGATGAGGACAGTAAGAACTGGGAAAGGGGGCTGGTGGGATCAGGAGGGGAAGAGCCGGGTGGAGCGGAACGGAGCGGTCACAGGGCTCCCAGAAAACCCCACGTCCTCTTCTGATGGCCGCCTTGGTGCTTTCAGAGATCGGCACGGACAAGGCGTGCTACCGGGACATGTCCTCCTTCCCGGAGACCAAGGCGGAGAAGTACGCCAACCGCAGCAAGGGCAAGAAGTTCCTGCAGTACAACCGGCGCCAGCTCAGCCGCATCTACCCCAAAGGGCAACGCTTGGACTCCTCCAACTACGACCCGCTGCCCATGTGGATCTGCGGCAGCCAGCTGGTGGCCCTCAACTTCCAGACGCCTGGTAAATCGTCCTCATCATCACAGGACACCCCCCAAAAATTCACATTTCTGGTGGCTCATGGTTGGAGGTGGTTTGGATGAGCTCGCCAACCTCTGTCCCTACCTTGATGGGGATATCCCGTGGGTGTTTCGTGCAAAATCCTTCTACCCAGGGTTGGGGGCTTTCAGCAGGGGGCTTGCCAGGACTCAGGGACCTTCTGCTTGAGCCCCAGGGCTCAGATCTGCTCTGTCCCCCACAGACAAGCCGATGCAGCTGAACCAGGCGCTCTTCATGCTCGGCGGCCGCAGCGGCTACGTCCTGCAACCCGACATCATGAGGGACGAGACGTTCGACCCCTTTGACAAGAACAGCCTGAAGATCGTGGAGCCCATCACAGTGCAGCTGCAGGCAAGTGGGCAAGGATGGCGAGTCCATCCCAAGGTGGTCACCATCACAGTTCTTCCTGGGTTTTGGGTCAATTTTTACGTGTTTCAGACCCGTGTTTGCTTCGTAGAGTTCAGCACCCTGTGATTTTTCATGGTGTGATCTTTCCATGGGGAGAACCCCACAATTACACAAAGCTGAGCACAACCTGAGTGAAATTGAGATAGAGATAAAATAGCTAAAACAAGCCCAGAAGCACCTTCCCCAAATTTTTGGGTCCTTTTGTGGGATGGGTTGGTTCGTAAGCATCTGACTCTTGGGCATAGCATGGACAAAGAAAAAGTTTTTCAAGTCATTTTGCAGATATGGCAAAAACCAGTCTAAGGCCATAAATAGGTCCTAAATAGAGGGTTGGACCCAATGATCTTGGGGTTTGGACCCGATGATCTCTTGAGGTCCCTTCCAACCCCTACAATTCGGTGATTCTGTGATAAAAAAGGTGTGGGGTGGCTAATTATGGCCATGAAGCTAATGGCAAGCCCAAACCAGCCAACCCACAGGAGTTGGAAACCCACTAGCACGAAGAGCCCTTCCTTGACCACAAGGCCATCGTGGCCAGCCCTCACTCTCTTCCTCCTCCTCCTCCTCTTCCTCCTGCAGATCCTCGGCGCCCGGCACCTGCCCAAGAACGGGAGGAGCATCGTGTGCCCCTTTGTGGAGGTGGAGGTGTGCGGCTCCGAGTACGACAACAGCAAGAACAAGACGGACGTCGTAGGTGAGGCTCCGTGGGGACATCGGGACACCCTTTAGGGTCCCATTGGGGATGGATTTCACGAGGAGCAAAAGGGAAAAGCATCTCCCACTCACGGGGGAGCCGTGGTGCCGTGGTGGTGCTGTCCGTGTGTCCAAGCCCTGCTCTGTCCTCACCCCCGTAGCCGACAACGGCTTCAACCCCGTGTGGCTCTTCAAGCAGTTTGTCTTCGACATCAACAACCCCGAGTTTGCCTTCCTCCGCTTCGTGGTGTACGAGGAGGACATGTTCAGCGACCCCAACTTCTTGGCACAAGCCACCTTCCCCGTCAAGGGTCTCAAAACAGGTACGCTCCCTCCCTCCACGCCCATCATCTTCATCACCCTCAGCCCCTTGGAGACCCAACCGTGGCCACGGCGAGGGGCTGGGACCCGGATAGAGGTCGAGGACTTGTTAGTTGTAGGTTCGGGGGTTGGACTGGGTGATCTTGGAGGTCTCTTCCATCCTAGATGATTCTGGGATTGATTTTATGAGCTTTTATCATGGTGTCGTGTCCAGGCTACCGGTCGGTGCCGCTGAAGAACAGCTACACCGAGGACCTGGAGCTCGCCGCCCTCCTCATCCACATCGAGATCATCAACGCCAAGGCAGGTGTTGGGGCCAACCCAGGAACCCCAAACCTCGTTCCCCTGATCCACACCCATCCCGGGGCATCCCCGCCCGCTCCCAAAACCTCACCCCTTTCATGTCGGAGCAGGAGGAAGACGAGGAGAACCTCTACTCGTCCATCCAACAACTCCGGGACCGCGCCAGCGAGCTCTCCAGCCAGGTCTCCAGCTACGAGCGCACCAACAACTGCGACTCCCGCTACCAGCAGCGCCTCGACGAGCTGCGGGCGGCCCAGGAGCGGCTGATGGAGCTCACCGAAGTCCGAAATCGAAAGTGAGTGCCCCCCCCGAGCTCATCCCCGGACCCCCCTACTCAAGGAGGGTCCCTAAATGCCACCCAAACCCCCTGCTCCACCCCAGGTTGATGGAGAAGAAGAAGAGGGACCGGCAGCTGGTCACCAAACGCAGTTGAGCCAAGCGGGCTCGAGGCCACCAGCCCCTCGTGGACCTTCCACCCCCTCCCCGCTGCCTCCCACCACCTCCTCTCCTGCTGCAGAGGGACAGGAGGAGGTGGAGGGGGGTCGGATCCGGACCTCCTCCACCCCATAACAGCCCCTAAAGCCTTCAAGGGGGGGGCGAAGGTCCCAGAGGTGACAGCGGTGTGACAAATCTGGGGAGGAAAAAGGGAGTTTTGAGTAGGTCTGCCTGTGAGGTTTCCCCGTCGGAGGACACTCCGGTGTCACCTCGTGTCCCCCATGTCCCCTGGGGGGGGGTGACATTCCCTCAAGGGGGGGGGAGAGGGTAAAAAACACCGCAACCGATGGGGAAACTGAGGCACGGAGGAGCTCTCCCGGTCCCTATTTGATCCGGGATGGGGCAGGACCGGCCACCTCCCTCCTGGGGACAGTGGGGACAGCGGCATGAGGACGTGTGGGGGACGTTTTGGGGGCAGAGGGGCGTGTTTTGGCCCCCCCACCCCCCACCCCACTATAAATATCTGTATTTTCTTCTTTTATCCAGCCTGTACATATGGCGGGGGGAGGGTAAAGGGGGGGGGAGGGCTCTGTGTCAGCACAGTATTAAGGCACGAGGGGACCCCAAAATGTCCAGAGATGTCCCCAGAATGGGAACAAGGGAGCAGGGGGGGGACCCCAAAATATCCGGAGATGTCCCCAGCACAGGAGGTGCCCGGTGCAGGTAAAATTCAGGCACCGAGGCAGCCCTGGGGTGGCTGGGGACATCTTTGGGGTCACCTGGGGGACGGGGACGTCCCTAGGGTCACCTGGGGATGGGGACATCCCTGGGGTCACCTGGGGAGGGGGACGGATCCTGCCGCTCCTTCAAGGTAAGTCCCACAGTTTGGGGCATTTCCTAAAAAAAACACCAACGAGGGAATCCGTCGGAGCCCCCAAAAACCCACACAGGACAGGGATGACCCCAAAATCTCACCTCCGGTCCCCGCGCGGCCAGGATAGGGACTGGGGACATCTCGGGGTGTCCCCCCGGGTCGGGGTGCCCCCATTGGGGTGGGGGTGGGGGATCTGTGTATTCTTTGTATGAAAATAAATCTATTTAGCCAATATTTATACCCCGCTGTCGTGGTCCGGTTCCCCCAGCTCTGCCAGCGCTGGGTTACGGGGTTTGGGGTGTCCCCAAATGGGGTGGTGTCCCCAAAGGGGGTGGTGTCCCTAAATGGGGGGGTGTCTCCTTGGGGCCATAGGGACATAGGGACAGCCCATGGGGACACAGGGCTATGGGACTACGTGCCATAGGGTTATGGGGTCACAGGATCCTGGGGACACCTGACTATGGGGACACAGAGATATGGGACCATGGGGACACAGGGGACAGAGCTGTAGGGATAGAGGGCTGTGGGACTATGTGGCATAGGGTTATGGGGACACAGGACCCTGGGGACACCTGACTATGGGAATACATGGATATGGGACCATGGGGACACAGGGCTATGGGGGCACTGGGATATGGGGCCTTGGGGCCATAGGGACACAGGGACAGCCCATGGGGACACAGGGCCATGGGACTACATGCCATAGGGCTATGTGGCCACAGGTCCATGGGGACACCTGACTATGGGGCCATGGGGATATGGGGCCATGGGGACATAGGGGACAGGCTATGGGGACACAGGACACAGAGCTATGGGGACACAGGGCTATGGGACTATGTTACATAGGGTTATGGGGACACAGAACCATGGGGACACCTGACTATGGGGACACAGAGATATGGGGCCATGGGGACACAGGGCTATGGGACCGTGTGACATGGGATTATAGGGACACAGGACCATGGGGACACTGTGATACAGGGCCAGGGGGACACAGAGCTTTGGGGACACAGGGATATGAAACCACAGGGCCACAGGGCTATGGGGCTACGTGTTATAGGGCCGTGACACCACAGCCCCATGGGGACCCAGGGCCATGGGGGCCATGGCACCACAGCCCCCTCAGGGGAGGGCGGGGCTAAAGGCGGCGCGGTCCCGCCCCCTCTCCTCTCTCATTGGTCAGCCGTGGCTCCGCCGCCGCTTCCTATTGGCTGGCCGCCCGGTGGTTGTGACGGGGCGGACCGGAAGTGCCGGCCTGAGGGGGGCTCCGTGAGGGCCGCGGCCGGGGGCCGGTGAGGAGCTGGGGGGGGGAAAGGGGGACAAGGGGGGGACACGGGGACAAGGGGGGGACATGGGGACACCGAGGGACATCGCTGGGGTCGCGCTGAGGCACCCCCGGGGGGGTTGAGGGGGTTTCTTGGGGGGTTGAGGGGGTCCCTGGGGATGGGGGGGGGGCACAGGGGGGGCCTTAGGGACAGCAGGGGGACAAGGGGGGGGCCTGGGGACATTGGGGTGGCAGAGGGGGGCCTTGGGGACATGGGAGTGGTAGAGGGGGGGCCTTGGGGACAGCAGGGGACAGAGGGGTCTCTGGGGACATGGGGGTGGCAGAGGGGGACCCTGGGGGTAAGGGGGTGGCAGAGGGGGGGCCTTGGGGACAGTAGAGGGGCAAAGGGGGGGCCCTGGGGACAGCAGGGGGACAAGGGGGGGGGCTGGGGACATGGGGGTGGCAGGGGACCTCTGGGAGTAGCAGGGGGTAAAGGGGGGAGCTGGGGGCAGCAGGGGACAGAGGGGGGGCCCTGGGGACAAGGGGTGGCAGAGGGGGGGGCCTTGGGGACAGTAGAGGGGCAAAGGGGGCCCTGGGGGCAGCAGGGTGACAGAGGGGGGGGCCTGGGGACAGCAGGGTGACAGGGGACCCTTGAGGACAACAGGGGACAGAGGGGGTCCTTGGGGATAGGGATGTGAAAGAGGGGTCCCTGGGGACATGGGGGTGGTAGAGGGGGACCCTGGGGACAACAGGGGACAGAGGGGTCGCTGGGGACAGGGGGGTGGCACAGGGGACCTTGGGAGTAAGGGGGTGACACAGGGGACCCTTGGCGACAGTAGAGGGACAAAAGGGGGGCCCTGGGGACAGCAGGGGGACAGAGGGGTCCCTTGGGGCCAGGGGGGTGGCAGAAGGGTCCCTGGGGACAGCAGGGGAACAGAGGGGGGCCTTGGGGACAGCAGGGTGACAGGGGACCCTTGGGGACAACAGGGGACAGAGGGGGTCCTTGGGGATAGGGGTGTGAAAGAGGGGTCCCTGGGGACAGGTGGGTGGCAGAGGGGGGCTTTGGGGACAGTAGAGGGACAAAGGGGGTCTCTGGGGGAAGCAGGGGGACAGAGGGGTCCCTTGGGGACAGCAAGGTGTCAGAGGAGACCCCTGAGGACAGCAGGGGACAGAGGTGCCCCTGGGGACATGGGGGTGGCAGAGGGGTCCGCGGGGACAGCAGAGGGACAGAGGGGACTCTTGGGGACAACAAGGGGACAGAGGAGACCCCTGGGGACAGCAGGGTGGCAGCCCACCCTCCCCCAGTGCTTCCCCCCCAGCCCCTCGTCCCTCAACGTCCCCGTCACCTAGGACGCTTCCCCCGCTGTCCCCACCGTGTCCCCGTCCCCTCCTGCTGTGGAAGGGACAACAAAAAGCCCTCAAAGACCCCAAATGCCACCCGTCTGTCTGAACTCACGCTCATTTCTGTCACCTGGGGAGCAAATCACAAAGCTTCTGGTGCTGGAGAGATCAGGAAAATGTTGAATTTGTTCTTGTTTTTCTCTTTGCATGATCAGAAATTAGCTCGATTTTATTTTTCTCTATTTTAATTTTCTCTATTTTATTTTATTTTTCTCTATTTTATTTTCTCTATTTTTCTGTCCGACAGCTGCCTTCACGTTTCCTGCCGTGAGCCCTTCCACTTCCCTTAACGCCGCCTCTCGATTCCTCCTCTCTCCTCTTTGAAGTTTTAAGAGTTTTTAATATTAAAACAAGCAGCCTGGGTCCCCTTTCGATGTGCTATCAGCCAGCAGGGGCCGATTACATGAAAACAATGGACAAAAATGTACCTTTTCACCCCAGATATTTAATTTATTTAGACGTATTTGCTTTTAAAGTGGCGATCTTTAGGATCTTAGCGTAGCACCGAGGTGGTTTCCACGCTCTGCGTGCGCTTGGAGTATTTATTTGCTTCGAGGCAACTTTTTCAGACCAGAAGTGGCTTTTTAGAGGATTTTTAAAAGGGAGAAACTCAGAAATTCAGACGGACGAGGGCTTGAGTGCGGGGCTGGGTTTGAAACCTCCCAAAACCTCTTCCAACCTGATGATATCCTAAAATATCACGCGTGGCTCATCCTTGACTCGACTCTCCGATTTCTCACAGCTCAGGGCGCCGACGATGAGCCTCCCGCCTTCGGTCGGGGATGGGAACTGCTACTACATCCTGACGGAGGGCTGTACCTACGGCAGCAAATACTTCCCCCCCGGCAGCCTCTGCTGCTGCAGCGAGCGGAGTTACCTGCGCAGCTTCGCCGACCGGCCCTCGGCTCGTTTCCTCAAGGTCATCATGCTGGACGAGGGCTCCACCGTCACCGTCACCGTGGAAATCCTGCAGCCGGTGCGCAGGGAGGTGGCCGCCCTCCTCCTGGGCATCGGCGGCCCCAGCGAACGGTTGGATTCCTTTTTGGAGAGGTTGAGCCTCGAGGCAGCTCTGCAAGCAGGGCCGGGCCAGAAGGTGACGGTGGAAATCGAGCGGCAGCACTTCCCCGGAGTCATCCGCTACGTGGGGAGCATCCACAAAAGCCCCCTGGCTGCCTTGTCCCCGGTCTTTTTTGGGGTGGAGTTACAGGTGAGCGGGCAAAAAAGGGCAAACTGCTGCTTTTTTTTTTCTCCCCTCCCGTTCATCACCGTGCTGAGCTTTTCCAGCCTCTTTTTTTTTTTTTTTTTCAGGGCGAGGGGGAAAACAGAGGGCGCAGCGACGGCTCCTACCACGGCACCGAGTATTTCAAGTGTAAGCCCGGCTGCGGGATCTTCCTGCCCTTCAGCAGAATCCGTTTCGCTCCCGGCCTGGAGAACGAGCCCGGGAAGCAAAAGCCAAAAGTGGAAACGGAGGAGGGGGTGCCCGTGAAGGTGGGGGACGCCGTCAGCTTCTACGTGGACGAGGTCCTCAGGAAAGGAATAGCGATGGCAGTCTACAGGGAGGGATCCCAGTGGTTCGTGAAGGTTTGCCCGGTAAGAGCAGCCTGTCTGCCTTTTCCTGATTATCTTTTGTGTTTGTTTTTCTTTTAAATCCTCATTTATTTTAAATTTTATACGAGTGAGGCCTTAAAGAGGAGCGGAAGCAGCGTCCAAAAGGTTTCACGCAGAGTCTTTGGGCCTGTTGGAAAAATTGGTTCACGTTTCAACCGCTTAGCTGATGTATTCTTTGTGCCTTTCAGGAAGAAGAAGGAACAACTGACATCTTCAGAGAAATCCCTCTGGACTCCGTCGTGAAGGAAAACCTGATTTCTCAGAGTAGGTTGTCATCAGAGGGGTCCACACCGTGCGTGCCCTTATGGAGCTGGGATTTAGCTCTTCTCTGCGGGTTACCCGTGAGCTGAAGGTCCAAAAAACCTTCATCTAGTCCCAACTAATTAAACCAGGAGGCTTGAAAGGTCTGTAGAAACATCTCAAGTAGGTTGCAGCACGTTTGGCATTAGGCACCTAGAGCTGAGCCTGCCATTTAGCAGGAAGAAGGAGAGAGATCATGGTGAATAAATATGTCCTAGGACAGAAAGCTCCACGGGCTAAAGAGTCTTTAATTTAGCTGTAGGAGGTGGAACAAGCCTTGTGCTGACACCAGAGGATCTCAGGAAGGTACAGATGCCGGTGGTGGTGCTGTGAATCACTGGACAAGCCAACAGATTCGTGGGATTTCAAAAAATGCTGTGCAGATGTCCAGGCCAGACCGAGGGGAGCTGTCTTTAGGCTTTCCATTGAATTGACCTCACTAAAGGCAGAAAAATAACCCGGAGACACCCCCACTGCCATTTCCACAGCCTGAAATGGCTCTGCGAAGGGCTGTGCTAGCTCCGGGGAATGAAACAAGGGGTGGAATCACCTCCTCTCGCCCTCAGCAAGCTGCTAGACCAGCTTGGCCCTGTCATCGAGACATTTCCTGAGGATTACAGCTCGTGGCCCTGGCGCTCAGCTTTGTGCTTGCACGTTTAGTCTCTAATTTCAAAGCCGACCTGCTATTAGGGACGGCGGCGGGATCCCGAGGTAGTTGTCACTAAGCGTCACCTTCCTGTCTCTCCTGACGTGCTTTTTTTTTTTTTGCCTCCCAGGTGTTTTTCCAACGTTTGGACCTGACGTGGGCCTGGGCCACTCGAAGCAACCGAAACGGCAGGCGAGCGAGAGCGGCGAGGAGGGCGAGAGCGGGAACCCGCCCTTGGAGGTGAACTCCATGGTCCAAATCACCTTGGACAAGGGCAATCAGGTGTTCGGAATCATCCGCTGGCTGGGCTACCTCCCCCAGATCAAGCACAAAATGGCAGGAGTTGAGCTGGTAAGGAGCAAAAGGAGTTTTACTCCATGATCCTCGTGGGTTCTTTCCTTTTTGGGATGTTTTACAAGCTGATTGACCTAGGGAGGGCTGCGTGCCCCCTTGGAATGGGGAGGAGGAGCTGCAGAGAGACTCTGAGGGTTTGTTCGCTGTCTTCAGGAGCAGTTATTGAAGCGTGGGGCAAAATAATTGAAAATCCTACAAGTGGTGTCAATAAATATAAAAAAATAACCAGAGCAGGTGAAAGCAGCCAGTGAACCTGGACCAAAACTTGTGCACAGCTCTTAAAATCCTAAATAGGCATAGGGGAAATCACACCTGCCTCATAAAATCTGCTCTCATGGCATTCCTCGATGTTTTTTTCCCCCCAGGATGAAGATAAGGGGGTCACTGCTGGCGAGTGGCTGGGCAAATATTACTTCCACTGCGCCCCGAAGCGCGGCCTCTTCGTGAAGCTGCAGTCCTGCCAGCCTGACGTCCGCTTCCAGAGTTCGCGCGGCAGCGACCTGAACCTCGTGGAGGACAGTAAGTTCTCTGGGAGAGGGGACACGGTGCCGTGCTGGGCCAAAGCAGGTTACAGGGGAGCCCTTTGTGCAGTTTTTTGGCCGGCGCTTTCTTGGAGTGGCCCAAGAGATGCTGGTTTTGGCTGCAGAGAGCTGGAGGCAGGAGGTAATGGTACCTGGGGACGGAGAAATAGAGGGAAGTTTGGGAAATGAGAGTATTAAACCCAGATAAATGACTCAAGAGACCAATTCCCATCCCAGCGTGGTTCAGTCCCAGCAGGAACAGCACAGAACAACGCTGCGCTGACCTCTGAGCAGTCTTTTGGGGCTCTGGGGAAGGGCAAGAGCGGTCCCAGCCGAGGTGGGAAGCTAAAAGGGAGCTGCTTGTGTCGCTTCTCTTGCAGGTGAGCGCGAAGCTCTTCCCCATGCTCCCGTCAGTTTTCCTCCCCTCAGGAATGAGGACGCGGTGTCCGTCCTGCGAGGGCGGATGAAAGGGATCCAGGGCCACTGCAACTCCTGCTACATGGACGCAGCTCTCTTCAGGTAAGGGCCTGACTGGGCGGTGATGTTTGCCCAAAAATAAAACGATCATTTAAGAAGAGCTGCAGGACTCCCCAGGTGGCTGGAAATTTTGCCCTAGACCAGAAAATAACTGCGGGGGGATGCAGCTCGCTGCCTCCTGCTCTCCTTCCTAACCTCTGAGGTTCTCAGGCCCTGAAGCACCCTCGTGAGTACCTCAGGTACCGTGTGTCTGTCACGCAGGGCGCTGAGATATCGTAGCCCTCTGGACTGGACCGTGCTGCTTCTGTCACTGGAGGAGGCAGTGGCTGGAAACAGATTTCAAAAGAAACCATCCGGCAAGTCCCAGCTTCACTGTGCAGCAGTGTTGGGAGCCGAACAGACTCGGTGGTGCCCCCACGAGCAGTTTTGGCTGCAAAGTACGAGATTTCCTTCTCCCTGGGCTGCTTCCTTGCTTCCTTAAAGCAGATTTGGTCTTGCTGTGGAGTTGTGCTGGCACTCACCCCCCCGCAATCAGCACGCGTGGCCTGTTGGAAAAATAAAACCCACCGATTGTCACGGAGCACAGGGCTTTGGTTCTAACTGCTGCTGCAAACCCGTCGGGACTCACGCAGCCCTCTCTTTTCCCAGCCTCTTCTCCTGCACCTCCGTGCTGGACTCCATGCTCTTCACGCCCTTCACGCTGTGTGACAGGAACGTGCAGGAGATTCTGCGGGAGGAGATCGTTAACCCCCTCCGAAAGTGAGTACAGCGCGTGGGGATGCTCCAACTCTTCCAGTTGTTCCTTTCCCCTGTCAGTAAAGCTGTCCCAACACCTCCTGCACGCCTGTGAGCTTCCCCTGCTCGGCAGAAGCCTTGTGATGCTTCGATTTCTAAATGAGAGATCACCTGTGGCTGCTTCTTGTTTCTAGGACTGGCTTCGTCAAGGCTCGGAGCGTGATGCACCTTCGGGAGCAGTTAACCGAGAAGGGCAAATGCTCGAGTTTTACCAACGCTGAGAAAGGTAACGTGCTTCCCCAGGCTGCTTCAGCCTCTGCTGCCTCACCCAGGCACCAAACTTAATTAAGCACCAGCTTAATTGCATGCTTCTCCCGTGCACGCGTGTTAACATGCGAGCTGCGCCGCTTATTTATGTAAAAAAAAGTGCCTGTGAGATATTTTCGGCTTCCGAGAGCTCCCCGTTGCTTCTCGACTGACATTTGTCTGATGGGAGGATGGGGATTGCTGGGTTCTCTCTGCCGCCTCCCAACTGGTGGCAGCTGCTGCCAGGAGGGGAGAGGATGAACCGCGTGAGCAGAATTTCAATAAGGGGGATTTCCTTGACCTTTATACTTTGAATCAGCCCTGATAAATCCGTCCCTGCCAGAATCCAGCGTGGTTTTATCGTGTTGCCAAGATCAGTTTCTCTTCCGAGCTCTGATAAATTATTTGGGGTTCCTCAGAGACGCTAGTTTGGTTAAAAATAAGCCAGAAAATGCTGACATCTGGAGCCCACCTCTCTGATTCCCATTGCTACATCCCTGTCTGTGCTCAGCAAGGCTCCCTGTAGTTCATGACACCGAAGCAGGTCGTGCCAAACATCGTTGCAACAAGCTCTGGGTTCCCAGATAGCAAACGAGTGGCATTGATTCTCCTAGAAGCAGCAGGTAGCTCGTCACTGAACAGCAGCTGCGGTTCCGTACGGCTGTGTATTTATTTTAGCTGGAGGGTGGTTTAATTACTGTTTGGTTTCTTGAATTTTTCTGAATTTTTTCTTGGTTTCTTGAACTTCTCTTTGAATTCCTGCTCCTGGTCTTGGCTGCTCGTTAACACCTGTGGAGTGACCCCTGCTTTTCTCTGCCCTTCCAGATCCCGAGGAGTTCCTCAGCCTCATCATGCAGAAGATCCTGGGGATAGAACCGCTCCTGAAACTGCAGTAAGTTACCCGTGCCCGAGTGATGCTCACGAGTTCTTCACCTCGCAACCACCAGGTGTTACTGCACCTTCTCAGCAAGGCCGTGGAGGCACAGCTCGGGGATTTGTGCTCAGCTTTCTGCTCTCCAGTAGCTGTAGCCCGTGATCTCCCTTGCTGTCAATTTATCCCGGGTGGGCCCATCCAGGAAAAGACATTTTTAAGTTCTCCCCGGAGGCGCCACCTTTGGAAAACGCTGAAAAAAAAAACTGGTGCCAGCCTTAGGCCAAGACAGCAGTGGTCTGAGAAACGTGGAGGCCGTCTCCAGTGCGGAGCCGGCGCTGTTTGACAGCCTTGGGATGCGTTTGGGATGCGTCCAGGCTGTTCGAGCTGGCTCGGATCCCGCAGCCTCTCAAAACAGGGAACCCCGTGGATGCGGTCCCGGTTTCTCAGGACTCTACAAAGAGGATGAGAGGCTGGAGGAAGCCCAAAATAACCGGGCTGTTAGGAAGCATAGAAGGGGATTGTTCGATTTCTGTGCTCGTTTGTGGGGCCGTTGGCCAAGCCTCGCATTGTGGAGCGCTCGCAAGGGCCGAGCACAAAGGGAACTCTGTGCTGCAGCTCCCCTGCGGAGGGGCATCTGAAGGAAATCCTTTCTCTGCCAGTTCAGGGATGGAGAGTTTTTGGGGGACCTGTTCACAGCTCACCTTTTGAATGCCTAAAGCCTCGCTCTGTGGGTTTTCTACGTGCATTTATAAAGAGATCCTTCATTTGAGAAGGAGTTTACAGGTCGTGCTCCGTAGCAGTTGGTTTAAAAATACCAAAATGTCTTTGCTTTGTGTCCTTGCAGGTCTGGAGGCCACGAGGGACTGGACTGTTACTGCTACCAGATATTTATGGACAAACAGGAGGACCTGGTGGTTCCTGACGTACAGCAGTTGGTGGAACATTCCTTCCTGACCTATGACCAGAAGCTAGTGGAGGTGAGCTCAGCTCCTTTCCGTCTTCGTTGCCATCTGCTGCCTCTTTCTTGCTTTCTCCACCATCCCTGCGCCCGCCAGTGGATCTGGTGGATCATCCCCAAGAGATTTTGTAGGGGATTTGACCTGGGAAGAGGGCCGTGCTTTCCCTGCTGCTCTCAGCCCTCGTGAATAACCTGAGCAGAAAGCCTTTCCTCCCAGGAGCAGCACCGAGATGAAACTCTCTGGGATTTGCCTCTTCGGGAGCAGTGACTCGTTTGCCTTCATTTTCCCAGATCCCCTCTTGCTTCATCATCCAAATGCCGCGATTTGGAAAGGAATACAAAATGTTCAGCAAGATCATCCCTTCCTTAGAGCTGGACATCACCGATCTGCTGCTCGACAGTAAGTTAGGTGGTGGTGAGAGTCACCAGGAGACGGGGCTGGGCTCTTGGGGCCGTGAGCAGGAGCTGAGGTGGGATCGTGGAGCGATTCCCATCCCCTGAATGCCTCAATTTTGCAGGGTGAGAATTCAGCTGAGGGAAGCTGCCTCCTCTCACCCCTTTTTCCCTCCGCAGGTCCCAGGGAGTGCTGCGTGTGCGGCGACGTCGCCACCCTGGAGTGCTCGGGGTGTTTCAAAGACAAGATGTTCGCGCCTACGGGCCTGAAGCAGTTCTGCAGCACCTGCTCCAAACAGGTATTCGGGCTCTTTGGGCGCTCGTGACATCTGCCGTGGTGACCCCACAGCAGGTTAAACCCCCAAAAAACGCCCACGTTCCCCTCGCTGCCCCTGCAGCTGGCCAGGTTGGGTCCAGAGGAGGATAAACTGGAGGTCTGGCTCGGACCTGCCCTCTCAGCGCTGCCACCCCGTCGTTTTCCCTCAGGTTCACTCCCACTACCGCCGCAGAACCCACAAACCCACCAGGCTGCACGTCCCGGAGGAGTTTCAGTGCCGGAGCCCCCAGGGAAGCCAACGGGTCCCCCGGGAGAAGATGGAGCTCTTCGCCGTGCTCTGCATCGAGACCAGTCACTACGTCTCCTTCGTTAAATACGGCCCCGAGAACGAGCACTGGATGTTTTTTGACAGCATGGCCGACAGGCACGGTGAGGATGGAGCCAGGAGGGTGTAGGGTGAGCGTTGTGGGTGCTGCTCTGCATCGGGGCAGCATCAGGAAGGTTCTGCACCAATCCTAAAAGGAGCCCGAGGCTTTCAGAGGGAATGCAGGGTGCTGGGAGGGGGCAGCTTCGTGTAACAACGGACAGCCCGTTGCTCTGAACCCATGAATTAGGATCCCAGTGCCACCAGTATGCATTTAAGCCAACCCCAGGGAAAAACGGGAGCAGGGCAAGGATATTTGGGAGTCGCTCCTGGTGCTCTCGTCCCCTGGCTGCGTTCAGGTTGGGGACTTCCCGAGCCAGCAGGTGGCCCCCAGATCTCCCAGCCGAGGCTTGGACTTGCTGCCAGACGCGACGGTGACTGCTCAGGCTGTGTGTCCTCATCCTTTGGGGCCACGTTTTGGCTAAAATCTCTCCCTTTCCCCGATTTTAGGTGACGAGAACGGCTTCAACATCCCCACGGTGACTCTGTGCCCCGAAGTCGCCAAATACCTGGACTTACCGCTGGCTGTGCTGGCCCTGGAACAGCCCAGGGACATGGACGGGGTGGCCAAACGCCTCTTCTGCGACGCCTACATGTACATGTACCAGAGCAAGAAGATGGCTCTCTACAAGTGACGCCGTTTCGGGCTGGTGTCAGAGATTTGAGCTTGGGGTGGCCCCGCAGCCTGTAACGGGTGAAAGCAGCCGGAGCCTGGGTGCCCCGAGCTTGCACTTTTTGCCTCTTCTTGCCTCTTTTTACCTCTTCCAGCGTCTGCCCTTCAGGCTAGCTACAGGAGCCTGGCTGGGTTTGGAAATCCTACGCCGGGTTTGCTGGAGAGAGAGCTTGGGTCTTCCTGCAGACCTGGACTCGGCGTTCTTACGCTCAAATTCTCTCATTCCTGCCTTCTTTCTTCCTACCTCCTTCCTCCGCAGGTGCTCTGCCCTACCTCAGTGTTCTCCCCGCACCCTTTCCCTCCCAGGACCAGCATCTCAAAAACTCGAGGAGTTACCCTCAGGTTTGTAAAGACCGAGAGAAAAACCACGGCCTCGCGTGGAGTGAGAGAACCAGGTGGCAGCCTTGTGGCTGCGATGTGTCAGGAAGGTTTTTCCTGATCCCACCCCAAAAGCTGGGGCCCTGAACTGTCCTCCCTTCCCTTATCCTAATACCTCTGGCACTTTTACCCACTTATTTTCCACCACGAGGTTATTTGGATGTCGTGGGCTGCAAACATGCTCGAAAACACGTATTTCTGTAGGAACAAACAGGAAAAAAAAGGTGGAGCAGAGGGACAGCAGGTGAGCACGAGGCACGCTGTCATCTTTTTGTGAATCCTACATTATTGCTACGGGGCAGGAGGCATCCTAACAGCCCTTCTCTCACTTGCTGTCCCATCTTTGCATCCACTTCTGGGATCTGTACCAAACAGCAACAACAATTTCAGGACAAAACTGGAAGAATGAGCACTTTTTACGTTTCCTTTGCCACGGCAGCAGGAAGGATTAGGGTCCCTGAGTTGGGAAGAGGCGTCCTTTAAGTTAAATAATTTAAATTTGCGAGTTAGGAGGTGTCAGGGCAGTGGGAAGCCAGTTGGGGACTCAGTGCCGTGAGCTGTTTGAGCCAGGTTCGAAGGATGGATGCAGTGTAATGAACCCAGGCTAATCACTTTTATTTTTACTTTTATTTTTTTGGCAACGCTGCCCTCCGATTTAGCTCCCACCCTTCGGCGAGCTGATGTTTGGAGGAGAGCCACGGACAGCGGTGTGCAGGGATGGGGAAGGCTGTGACCCTGCTTCTGAGCCCCGAGGGCAGCCTCGCTGCCTTTTCTTCTCAGCTCAATGGTACTTTTATTTGTTTTCGTGTAGGAATTCAGGCCAGGCTCTTTTTTGAGAGCACTGTGCGCAGGTTTAATAACAAAAAGTGGTTTTTTTCCTCTCTTATAGTGCAAAGTTAAGTGCCTTATGGAGCGCAAGCCCAGCTGTGCTCCAGCCTGACGGTTTTTTTTTTATAAACGGGACACAATCAGGCAACTCTTTGTGTTTGTTTGTTTTTTTTCCCATCAACATATGCTGCAAGGACCTAAGTGATGGAGAGAAAAAATTAAAATAAAGCATCTTTTATCAAGCTTTCTGCTGGGAGAGGGTGTAAGTCATTGGTTAGGGTATTCAACCACGCGTTGCTTCATCTGTCCTGCCTGCCCCCCAGGTGAGATGTGCTCCAGGTGCCACGTTGGAGGCTTTGCTGCTGGAATTAGGTACAGGATCCCCCAAAATGGGACTGTGACCATGTGCTGGGGTCCACCCCAGCTGCTATCATCGCTCCACGCTCGCTTCTCATTTCAATTTTATTCAAATATACACCACGAAGTGAAATGACAGGTGCTGAATTAGACATTCAAGCTGAAGGAGAGTTTGGTTTTTAGGACTGGGGCAGGCACGCAGTGTGCTCGCAGCACCGGTGTGTAAGGCTTTGATTTTGTTTTGTGCTTTGGATGAAGTAAAGGCAGGGCTTAGCGCCCCGCTTCCTCTATAAGAATTGAGGTTTGAGGTCATGGGGGTCGACCTGAACCCACCTTCCATGCTCGGGAGATCTCGTAGAAAACGGAAAGGTAAAAAACGGGGCCACAGAGCCAAAGCTTAGGGGAGAAAGGGGGCAAAGTGCATCTGCCACGGCTCCGTGGGTGGGAAACCTTCTCGGCAGGGATTTTAGTGCCACTGCTGAGCCTCGTTGGGGGCTCTGGGACACGAGGATGGTCCCCATGGCCTGGAGATGCCACCACAGAAGGCACAGGGGTGGCAGGGCCACCGAGAGGGGCAGGGAAGGAAGGGAACTCCCCAGGCGATGCGGTGACAACGCCGGTCACCGCCGTGTCCCAGCCCGGGACGTGGTGGCCCCACCACCTCCCAGCTCTGCCTGCCCCATCCGTGGGCACCCGGGGCGCGTGGGGAGCGCTTCCAGTTCCAGCGTGGTCCTCGGAGGGGATCCGCAGAGCAGCAGCCTCATTAGCCTCATTAATTCCCAATTAATCACCCGGCCTTCCGAAGAGGACGTGGGAAGCGCTGGCCCCCAGGCGGGGGCTTGGCGGGGGGCGCACGGGGACCCCCTCACTGCTTGGCCTGCCGCAGCTCTGCGAGGAGGAGGTGCAGCTTCTCCGTCACGGCCACCTGGTGCAGGAGGGGACATTGAGTGTCCCCAGGGACCCTACAGGAGCCCAAGGGCAGAAAATTGGGAATGGGACCGGGATTAATCAAGCGGCGGGCGTACCGGGTAGGGCTGCGGCTCGCGGAGCCGGCGGTGAGCGGGGCTGAGCTGGTTGAGGGACGTCTGCGCGTGGTTCCGCACCTCCGGCAGGCTGGGCAGGACCTCACACACCTGTAGGATGGGGATAAAAGAGTGTCCCTACGTGGGGCTGCCACCCCGACCTTTTAGGGTTTTCGCAGCAGAAGCCCCAAAACTTTGCGGTGAGAGCCACCTGGCTGAGAGCAGCCCCAAACCACGTCTCCACCCGCCTGCCCAGACCCCACAGACCCTTCTGAAAATCCCAGGGGACCCATTTCAGATGGGGCACAACCTCATCCCTCCCCTGGGAACCCGAATTTCCCAGGGAACTGGGAATTTCCCATCCCCTCACCTGGCCGTCTCTGAAGTAGGTGCGATGCAAGGGCTCCACGGTGTTCGGCCAGACCTTGGTGGCTTTTCCTCTCCTCCCCAGGACATGGGCCACCAGCTCCTGCCCTGCTTTGGGTGCAGGCTCATCCTCCAGGGCCATGAGGTCCATGATGGGGTGACCTGCAGGGGTGCTGGGTTAAGGGCGCTGACAAAGCCAGGAGCAGGATTTAGGGGCGATCAGGATTTAGGATCAACGGGGCAGCAGCGCAGCGGGGGTCCCAACACTCACCAGCATCGTCGTAGAGCCGATAAACTGCCTTAATCCCGGGGATCGTCATCTTCTCCTCCTCCTCCGTCAGCTTCAGGCAAGGCGAGCCGTTGACCTCCACCAGCTGTGGGACAAGAGGACGTTACGGGGACGAGCTCCTTGTTTTTCGCCACGCGAAGCTGGTGCCAAGAGCTGTGCAGAGCTCCGTGCCCCGCCCCTTGCGTGCCAGGGAGGCCACTGAGGCAAAACAGCCGAATAAATCATTAAAAAAAACAAACAAACAAAAAATCCTCAAACCTAATAAATTATTAAATAACCCCATAAACTATCCCCAAGCCAAGCGGGGCCGCGCTGCCTCTCCTACCTTGTAGACGCAGCCCAGCGATGGCTGCAGGGGACACGTCACCAGGTTCGTCCCCACACCGATCACGTCGATCTCGCTCCCCTGGTGCAGCGGAGAAGACAACAACCATCAGCAGCCCGTCCTGCCTCTCCTTTTTTTTTTTTTTAATCCATGCTAAAACCGGAGCCACGGGGCAGGTCAGAGGCTGCTCTGCCCCAAAATGTTTGGTTTCTGTCTGGCACACCCAAAAATCCGCTTATTCCAGCCTGGAAACTGCTCTTACGCAGGAGAAACTGAGTCACAGGAGGGTGACAGCCCCATTGTCACCCCTCGTGGCTGCCTCACCTCCCGGATGAAGCTCTCCAGGCTCCGTTCGCTGATGTCGTTGCTCACGGCGATGGGGATGCTCCCAAACCAGGGCACCTGGAAGCTGGAAAAGGAAAGTGAGGAGCTGGGGAGGGAGCAGAAGGACGGCCCCGGGGGCCTTGAGAGCCAACAAGCACCCAAAAGTGTCCCGGCACCCCATCGAGCAGGGAGGGCACCCACCCCAAAATCCAGGGACAACAGAGGAGGTGCTGGGTACCCGGGGTAGGGGATGCTCTCCGCAAGCTCCCTGCCCTTTTTGGGGGACTCACGCGGTGCCGCAGGCTCGGAGCACCCGCCGGATCTCCTTGGACTGCTGGCCCAGGTCCCCGCTGTCCAGGCGCACCCCGATGGCGCGGTAGCCCAGCTGGTGCAGGGCCAGCGCCACGGCGCAGAAATTGGGCAAGCCGCTCCTGGAGAGGGCGAGGAGAAGGATTAGAGCCCGTGGCCTCTTCGCACAAGGGGTGAGGACCAAGGGCAAGCTGAGCAGGAGGCCAAGACCCGAAGGGACCCGTCCGTCCTCACCTCATGACGCAGTAGGTGTCCAGCAGCCCCTGGAAGTGGTGCGGGAAGGTGATGGCGTAGGACACGAAGGCGGCCAGCTCGCCCCGGTTGGCCTTCTCGGGGGGGCTCTGCAGCAGCTCGCACACCCGCCGCAACCACGACTCGGCCAGGACCACCAGATCCACCGGCTCCCCGCCCGCCAGCGGTGCCAGGACCTGCTCGGGGACATCAGCACCGCGTCCGGGGTGTCCAAACACCACGCGCATCCCACAGCGGCCCCGTTGCCCTTCCATGGGGCATCCCGTAGGGGGGACACACGGGGTCCTAGTGACTCGAGATGGGGTGTCCCATCCCGCTCACCTTGGGCTGCACCTCCTCCAGCGCCGTGAAGGACATGATGAAGGAGTGGGCGATGGTGCCGCGCACCGGGATGCCGTAGAGCTTCCCCGCCAGGACGTTGCTGGTGAAGTCGAAGCCTGTGAGGAAGGACGGGGGAGGGTGGGGGGTGACGGCACGGCCGCGGCACCGCAGGGGCGCTTCGGGGGGCACCACTCACCCCCGATGTAGGAGTATTTGGAGGCGGACAGGCCGCCGTCCGGCCCCTGGGCACGACGGAGCCCGATCTCCATCAGCTTCACCTCGGGGCCGGCGAGGAGGCGGAAGCGGGCGGCGTTGGTGGCCACCAGGCTGGGAGAGAAAGGGACAAAAAACTGGGTTTTCGGAAGAGCTTCGTCACCAAAAGGGTCGTCAGGTATTGGGACGGGCTGCCCAGGGAAGTGGTGGAGGGATTTAAAAGATGTTTAGACGCAGAATTTGGTGATGGGGTTTAGTGGAGGACTTTAGTGGAGGGTTTAGGGTTAGGGTTAGGTCAGGGGTTGGGCTGGGTGATCTTGGAGGGCTCTTCCAACCTAGATGATTTTTTGGGATTTTCTCGGGGTGCTGCTTAGCTCGGACACCGACGAGGTTCAGGGACAATTGGTGCAAAAGGGATGGATGAATTCTGCAGCCAGGGCGTCCCCAAAAAGCAGGAGGGGCCCTTACCTGGCGTAGTTGACCAGGCACAGCAGCGTGGTCTCCAGCAGCTGCACCACCAGCAGCGGCCCCTTCACCTGCAGGAGCGGGACCTGCGGGGACAGCGGGGGTGACATCTCCCTGCCTGAGCTTTTGGGGACGTGGGGACGTGGCCAAGCCCCGTTTGCTGGCGGGCCCCCGGTTCCCCCTGCGAGGCTCAACCCGGGTCCCACCCTGGAGAAGACGACGGAGCCTTCTGGCACGGAAGAGAGGGTGACCTCCGAGGCGTCCACGGTGCAGAGGTAATCGAAGAAGGCGTCCTCCGTCGTGCTAGGCAGGACCGAGCGCAGGTAGGCGATGTCTGTAGGGGCAGGGGGACACCTCAGCCCGTGTCCCCACACCGGGTATCCCGTCCCCAGGTCCCTCTGAGGGGTCCCCCCCCATCCCACTGAGGGCTTTCCCTGCCCCTCTACCAGGTCCCACAGTGCTTTTGAGGTCCCCCCCATATACCCCACAGGGACATCTCTGTCCCCTCCTCAGCTCCCATGGGGGGGGGACACCCCCACCCAGGACTCCTGCCCCTTAAGCCCCTCTGAGGCACGTCCCTGTCCCATTACCTCAGCCCCTTGTCCCTCCATGTCCCCTAAGGAGTCCCTTTAAGGCACGTCCCTGTCCCCATTACCTCCCCCTGAGGACTCAAATCCCTCTGAGGAATGCGAGGAATGTCCCCATACCTGTCCCCCCCCCCCAATTCCCCAAAGCCCCCATCCCCCAAGACCCTCTGAGGCACGTCCCTGTCCCTCTACAGTCCCCCTGAGGACTCAGATTCCTCTAAGGGATGTCCCCATACCCCCCCCACCCCCAGATCCCTTGTCCCCAAAAACCCTCTGAGGCACATCCCAGTCCCCTCACCTCAGCCCCCCCCTTCCCTCAAATCCCCTGAGGAGCCCTCTGTCCCCCCTACGTCCCCCAAAAACTCAGTTCCCTTTGAAGTTTGTCCCTGTCCCCCCCCCCCAAACACACCCCCGGGTCCCCTTCCCCCAAAACCCTGTCCCCTCACCTCAACCCCCCCTTCCCTCAAATCCCCCTGAGGACCCCCCTGAGGATCCCCCCGTCCCCCCACCCCACCAACCCTACCCCCACCCCCCTTTCCCCCAACCCCACCCCGCACCCCCAAACCCCCCTCTTTTCCCCCCAAACCCCAAGAAGCGACGACGACCCCCGCTTGTCCCCCTAATCGTCCGCGTCCCTCACGCACCGGCGGCGGAGAAGCGAAAGGCGCGGAGGAAGCGGAGCCCCTCGGCCAGGCCCGCGCTCAGGGCGAAGGCCCCATGGAAGGGTTCGCGGCGAAAAAAGAGCTCGGCGGCGGCGGGGACGCGGTGGCGACCGGCCCGCCAGTAGCCGTAGGCCATGGTGAGCTGGTAGAGGTCCGTCAGCAACGCCATGGCCGCCACACGGCGCGAGGGAGCTTGGGAGTCATGGCCTGGCAGGGAACAACGGGGCGGGCAGAGGGCGAGAGGGAACGTAGTGGCTTGAGGGGGGACGGTGGGGGCATAGGGCACGAGGGCGTGAGGGGATGTGGGGTGTGGAAGGGGGAGGTGGGGTGTGGGGTGTGGGGTAGTGTGAAGGGGGCATGGGGCAGCAGGAGGGGGAGCACGGGGGATGTCATGGGGTGGATAGTGCAGGGGACAGGGGACATTAGGGGTGGCAGCATGTGGGACACGGGACATCGTAGTGTGTATGGGACATGGGACACGGGATATCACGGAGTGTATAGTACATGGGACACAGGACATCATAGATTATGTAGGACATGGGACATCATGGATAGGACACGGGACATCATGGAGTGCATAGCACATGTGACACAGGAGGTCATGGATCATGTAGCACATGAAACACGTGACACGGGACATCATGGATTATATAGGACATGGGACATCATGGATAGGACACGGGACATCACGGAGTGCATAATACATGTAACACAGGACATCAGGGATAGGACATGGGAGGTCATGGAGCATGTAGCACATGAAACACATGACACGGGACATCATTGATTATATAGGACATGGGACATCATGGATAGGACACGGGACATCATGGAGTGCATAGGACATGTGACACGGGACATCAGGGATGGGACACAGGATGTCATGGATTATATAGGACATGGGACATCATGGATAGGACACGGGACATCACAGAGTGCATAGTACATGTGACATGGGACATCAGGGATAGGACACAGGAGGTCATGGAGCATATAGCACATGTGACATGGGACATCATGGATCATGTAGCACATGAAACACATGACACCAGGGACAGGACATGGGATGTCATGGATTACATAGGACATGGGACATTAGGGGTGGCAGCTTGTGGGACACAGGACATCATGGAGTGCATAGTACATGGGACACATGACACCAGGGATAGGACACAGGACATCATGGATTATATAGGACATGGGACACGGGACATCATGGAGCGTATAGTACATGGGACACGGGGCATTAGGGATGGCAGCATGTGGGACATGGGACATCATAGTGTGTATGGGACACGGGACACAGGATATCACGGAGTGTATAGTACATGGGACACAGGACATCATGGATCATATAGCACATGAAACACATGACACGGGACGTCATGGATTATATAGGACATGGGACATCATGAATAGGACACGGGACATCATGGAGTGCATAGTATATGTGACAAGGGACATCAGGGATAGGACACAGGACATCATGGATCATGTAGCACATGAAACACGACACCAGGGACAGGACACAGGACGTCATGGATTATATAGGACATGGGACATCAGGGATAGGACACAGGACATCATGGATTATATAGGACATGGGACATTAGGGACGGCAGCATGTGGGACACGGGACATCATAGAAGGTATAGCATATGGGACATGAAAAAAACAGGGATACGACATAGGATATCATGGAGTGTATAGTACATGTGACATGGGACATCAGGGATAGGACACAGGACATCACAGAGGGTACAGCACACGGGACACCACACAGCTGAGACACGGGACATGCAGCACCAGGCACCTATGGGACCAGGTGGGCCAACACTCAGGGCTCTGGGGACAACAGGACATGAGACAAAACATACAGGACACCAGCCAGGACAACACTTGGGACTCTGAACATGCAGCTACAGGCATGTGGGGCTCCAGGGATGACAAGCCACACAAAATTATCACTACACCAAGGACCCCGGGCCCATCCAGCCACCAGATGTGGCACAAAGGACACCAGATGTGCCAGCAGATGGGACACCAGCCCCATAAAGTTCTGGGGACAGCAGCACCCATGACACACCAGGCTCCTGGGAACTGGAGCCATCACCACATGGCTGGGGGCTGCTGCAACTCCATCCCGTGGTCGCAGCGGGGCTCCACGGTGCTTCTCATCTGCTCCGTGTTGGTGCCGTGCAGCCCGCACCCAGACCTTGGACTCTGGCACCGTGACAGAGGACTCTGGCCTACGGTTAGAAATTCCACCTCCCCTTTCTCAGGTCACGCTCAGCACAGCCCCAGCTCCTCAGGAAGCAAAGGATCGGCTGAAGCGACCCGCACGGGGTATCAAAAGCAGCAAGGAGAAAATTAAAGAGGAAATTCAGTGGCTTTTTTTTTGTTGTAGTAGTAGCAGACCTTCATTTCAACACAGAAACACATCTTGAGGTCTTTCCTTTTATGAAGGGAAACACCCAAAGTCTTCAAGACATCACTTTGGGGAAGCTACACTCAGGAGAGAAAAAAACATACAATCTGCATTCCTTGATCTTTATTAGTTACAGTTTCAGAGAGGATACAGGTTTGCTTCTAGATCTTGTTGAAAGCAGCAATGTCGACGCTCTGCACCTGCAAGAGAACAAGAACAGCAGCTAGAGGTCACCAAGGTGTTTTCAGACACAAAAGGAAGCACTCACAGCGGGGATTCCTTCACAGCATGCACTAGTTCTGCTCAAAAACAGATCAAGCATCGCCCAGGGCTCTGAGGCCAGCTCCCCAGCTGTGCTGAGAGCCACCTTCACGGATTGTTATTTAATATTTCTGTAACACCAGTCATAACAGGACACCACACTGTGCTCATCATTACACGAATCTTTAGGCAGTCCAGCTGATGAAGAACATCCATATTTAGCTTCTAGCAACATGCCTAAGATCAGTTCCTGATTTACTGTAAATATAAGCAAAAAAGTATGCAAGGAAAATGAATAAAAACAGGTATTTGGCCTGCTGCTTCCCCTTTCCAGTGGTGAAGCATGAAAAACTACTAAATCTGTGCATTATCTGGCACAGAGCTGGAGCTCCTGCTGCCAATTTTCACGAAATTGGAGGCAGGATGGGGATGGACACATCTCCAGCCCCAGCCACCAGGGTTAAACACACGCATTTGGTGGGGCTCCTCAAATTAAGGCTGGGTGGTGAGGAGCAAGAGCCTGCAAAAATGGCTCTGTGAAGTATCTGCGAGGTATCTACGTCAGGCAGAATTAAATATATACACACACGAGTATCTCAGCAGGCACAGATATCACTCCACGTGGTTTTCTATACGAAACCCAAGTTTGCCAAAGTATTAGAAGTAACCCTGCGGGCTAGGAGTCTCACAAAAAGACTTACGTAGTCCTCAAACTTGGTGATCTCCTCCTCCAGGATGTCAGTCCCGACTTTGTCGTCCTCCACCACGCACTGGATTTGGAGCTTTTTAATACCGTAGCCAACCGGGACCAGCTTGGAGGCTCCCCACACCAGCCCATCCATCTGGACGGAGCGGACGCACTCTTCCATCTTGGCCATGTCAGTCTCGTCGTCCCACTGCAAAAGGCACCAAGTTGGAACTTTAAACGTTCTCCTAGATGTCACCGTCAGCCCCAGGAGGTGGCCAGTGACTGAGGACTCCACGATCTCCTCCCCCTCAAACCAAACGGGGGTGCACGATAGCCCCCATCCCACAAAAATTAAGGCATCCTCCTTATCTCAGCTTAGCCTGATCAATCAACATGCAGGCAGTTGTTTTATTACACATCTGTGTGCAGTCTGACCAACAGGTAACACTCACCACTCCTCTCCTCCTCCTCTCAGTACATTTCAGGTGATGCAAACTGCCCTTTCTGGGAGGTTATTTTCGCCAGAATTAGCTGAAGGGGTCAGAGGAGCTAAATTTTGCAGCAATGCTACAAAACACGTTGCTTTAATTCTGCCTCCAGGCCCTGCGGATGCAGGGGGGATCCCTCTGAAGCAGCAACATCCCTGTTTCAAAGCCCTCATTTTAAAGCAACTTTTACCAAAGGCAACTCTCTTGTGCAAATGGAGCACTAGACAGCCCATAGTTTGGTTCTACAGTGACAATTTGACAAAAACGGGTTTCTTTTCATTTTTAGGACATTATTTGGGTTTGGTTTAACTGATTAAAGTCCTTTCTTCAAAGGCAGGAGCCAGTCCTGCTCAGAGAGGGATCCTTCAGCCAACAGCCAGCACTTGCCATGGTCCGAGGACCAGAGCAGAAGCTCAAGTGCTGCAGATCCCAGCTCACCCAACCTCATTTTGAACCCTCGTTTGGAAACGTGCAGGTCAGATCTTCCCCGGTCAATACAGACATGAAAATGAGATGTTTTAAAGCCTCCTGCACGGGACATGCAGCCTCACGCAGGAGCTCTTACTCACCGGCTTCACGTCCAGGAGGATGGAGGACTTGGCAATGAGACCTGGTTTCTTGGCCTTCTTCTCCGCGTACTGCCGCAGCCTCTCCTCCCGGACCTTGGCAGCCTCTTGGTCTTCCTCTTCATCGTCACTGCCAAAAAGGTCGATGTCATTGTCGTCATTTTCCTCTGCGGCGGCTGGCTCGGCTTTCTTCGCAGGTGAAGCAGATGGCAGCTCCACTTTCTTGGAGGGAACGCTGAAGGGTTCCACTTTCTTCATCGGGGTGACGTGGATTCAAGTTTGTATTAAGGAAAAAAAACAGGAGAACGTTAGCCTGAAGTTATATCACAGCAGCACTCAGGAAAAACTCAGGAAAAGAAGCCTACTTTGCTAAAGGCAGACCTCTGAGCTATCCCAACACAGCTGTACTTCATAGAGAAAAAAATATTCAGAGAGAAAAAAATACCCCGAAGCCAAGAGCTGACTCTTCTCTTAAGGACTCAGTGGTTCAATTTATCTAGAACATAAAGGGGGGAGAGCTATTGGGAACCTGGCCTTACAAATCAGCCTTACGACGTGCCCCAAGGCCAGGACTTATCTAGAGGAGACCATATCTTGCCCTGAAAACCTTCTAACAAGGAAGGTTTCCTTCTAACAAGGAAGATTTGTTTAAAAATAAAAAAAATAAAAGTCACCAGTTCTGCTCACTTATTTTAACAGTGGCGCTTTTTTACGTGGTGTGTGCTGAGAAACTTGCAGCACCGTGGGCTAAACCCTTACCAAATATTTGTTAGCTCCAAACTTCCACAGATCTGTGTCAGCTCTCTCCTTTGCTGAAATCTCTCAGCATGGTTTTTCTGTCTTTGGGCAGAAAAAACGCCTTTTTTTCTTCTTTCTACACATACCAATTAGGGAAAGATGACAAAGCAGCTGCCAAAACTGCTCAAAAAGCAGCAGCGAGCTCTTCCTAAACTCTTCCATCTCTTCTTTTTCATCCTCAGCAGCCAGGCAGGAGGCCTCAGAAATGACCCAGCACTTTGTGACAGCGAAGGATTCGAGAAGAGAATTTGGCTGAGGCTCACCTGGGTCGGTGGAACTGGGGAGGGCTGGTGGGAGGTAGATTTTTCCAGAGCATTCAGGCGGCTTTCCAACTTGAAGATGGCCATCTGAAGATCTGCTACGACTGCAAGAAGGGGTGAGGGGGGAGAACTTTAGCTTGTAGGCTCTCGAGACAGATTTGCTCTTGCTCAAAGTGGGATTTAAGATCACCAGGCACACCAAGGTTAATAAAGGAGACCAGCCACAGGAGCAGGACCCCGCTCGGTTTGTTTTTTTTTGCTTTCATACCAGGAGATTCTCCTACTTACCACTGCGAAGGTTTTGATTTTCTACCTCCAGGTGAGAAATTCTGGAAAGAAGCTCATTTTGGTCGCCGGGCCCCGAAGAGGTGGTGCTGGCGCTCTGCAACAAGGAAAATTGAGATGAAACAGATTTGTCCAGCTACTCCCACGAAACAGCGAAACAAAAGGTCAAGACTTTGGGAAAACAAAATTTGAGAGCCCATCTAAGAACAAGGCCATTATATCTGAAGGCTTTGAAGGCAATTTAACAAGCTCTACAGAATGAAGCATGAAACTTCATGAAATTTCAGCTGGCAATGATGAGCAGGGGATGAAATCAGTCTCAGACCACTAAACACACACAAAGTTTTGAACGTTTCACACTGAGCTCTTCCAGCTCTTACCCCAGTCCGGCCTTTGGTTCCTCTCAAAGAGGACTGAACTGATTTTAACACGTCCTGAGGGAACAACGACAGCGGTTCGGCTTCAAAAAGTATTTAACAGCAAGAACAAAATATAAAAAAAAGGCTTCTTTTTTAAAACAAGCCCTTATCTGCTATTTGAAAGCGGTGAAAGGGAAGAAAATGCAGCCCTTCATGCCTCAAGTGCCATTTATAACCGAACACAATAGGAAAAAATTGCATTTGAGTGCACCCTGCATGTAATCACTGTGGTTCTCTGGCAGAGCTGACGTGCTCCTGGTACCTCGGCAGTCACTCGAGATGAAGAAAAAGGAACAGGGGGGCAGAGGGAAAGCAGTTCAGGACGCCAAGCGCAGATCTGCAGCCCCTAAATGCTGGCAAGACCCTGTTGTATGGGGTAAACTACAACCACGAGTGGAATTTCAGATGCTCCTCGTGGTAAGGACCAAGAAATGGAGCTGTTTCTCCCTGCAGCCTCCTCTCAGATCCCAAAATCAGCTCAATCCATGCACGGGTGACTTACAGTTGAGCGGCCCGACTGCCTCTTTTGGCGGGCAGGAGCTTCTTTGCTCCGCGGGGCTGTCTTCTGCTGGAAAGGGCAAGAGGTTTGGGGGTTTGGTTCAACGAGGAGAGGATGGAAAAAGGGTTTTGCTCATGCTGGAGAGCAGCTGGAGTGCAGGACGGGGATCCACATGCGGGGAAATTCACCAAGCAACGAGTCAGCGGCACACCAACTCCACACCAAACAAAGCCTGCTTAAAAAAAAACTCATCCACCTTCTTGCTGCACGTCTCAAGAGCCTGCAGAACACGCTCAGCTGGGAGGCAGAGCTAGGATAAGACGCCTAAAGCATGCTCTTAGTCGTGTCTGGCGACACGAGTCGAGTTCTCTCTCTTCTACCTTGATAATATTGAAGGATTTCAAGTCTTGCCAGCCTGGCAGCCGCTAACCAAACCCCTGGGAGAGGGCAAATTCACAAATTCAGCCACCCAAGCAAATTAAAACCCTGGGAACCTCCTTGCTTATTGCAAAGGACAGAAAATAGAAGCTGCTCTCTTAGCCTCAAGAGGCTTTCAGCATCTGGTCCTCTAAAGCACGACTCTAAAATATTACTTTAAAAATTAGAGAAAACACTGACAAAGGAGAAAAACTGGCAAAGACACTCGTGCACACGGATGTGTTTCTGGACGTGGCACAGGTGCCTACCTGTAGGATCTCTCCCCACCTGTAGGACCTCTCCCTGCCCGCTGCAGTCTCCAAAATTTGGTCTGGGAAAGCGTCAGTGATCTAGCAGGACACAGCCTGGGGTGATGGTTCAAAGCAGAGATGACCATGCAAAGCAGGATGAAAGGTATGTGCAAACAAAAATTTCGGGCACGACAAGTTCCGTGCTCTCCTTCTGGAGGTGCAAAAAGATTCCCTTCAAGCCTTGGAGCGCTCCAGCAAACATTTCAGACCACCACCAGCCAGCTGAGGCAGATCTGCAGTCAGCCTCGGCTGAATTTCACGGGGATAAGCGCTCATCTCCCACCTCCCCATCGCGCTAAAACCACGTCCGCTCGTTCCACCTTTACATTCCTGACCAGAACTCTGCGTATTCAGGTGGAAAGACTAAATCCTGACTAGGAAAACGTGATTCTGGGCTGTTCTGCACGTTCAGAAGTAAGAACCTGGCCTTCTGAGACCTGGAAACGAAGGTTAATCACGTTCTGAATTCAAGCTTACCCTACAGCGTGGCTGTCCAAGGTTAATAACTCTTCAGAAATGAAAGCTACAAAAAAAAAAACCCTACAAAAATCTTGAGGTTTCAGCTTTATTTCTCAACATCTGAGCTCTTCTAACCCGCACAAGAGCAGAGAAGATCCAGCTGTGGCTTACTGCTTCAGGTTGCTGAGATATGAAAATTCGTGGAGAAACACAACGCTTTCCCTTCGAGCCATCGCTGGAGAACCCAAAGCCACTTTTTATCACGCCCCAAATTCCCAATTTGAGGTCCTGCTGCTCAAACTTAGCCTTAAATCCTCAAACCACTGAGTCTTCGTTGCAGGAAAGGAAAAAAAGCAGAATAATTGTTGATATTCAATGCTAAATCCCCCAAGAAACACCGCAGGGGGACAAAGGACTTGACTCTCAGCTCTGTTCTGGTTTTAGCCTGGGGTTTTGCCAGTTCCCCCAGTCCTCCCCGTTACAGGGGATCCCAAATTTAGGTGCTTCTCACATGAAGGAGGTGCAGGCCAGGACAAGGAAGTCCTCAGGCTGAGCCTGGTCTTGGCAAACCAGATGCTGGATCTGTTTGAAAAGGTTTTTGAGTCCTTAAACTCCTTCTGTGCCTGAAGTCCTCCAGCTCTGTTGGAGGTGGAGCTCAATTCCCCACGGATTTGCCCCAAGTCCAAGCTAAAATCTTGGATAGGGGCTGATAAATCCTCCTGAGCACCCAAACAGGGTATTATTTTCCCTAAGTTTTTGGCCGAAAAAACAGTGCTGAAGTCAGAAATTAGCATTAGAAACCTTCCAGGTATTTTCCTCCCCCTTTTTTAAATGTTACTGAGTTCAACAGGCACAGTGAAATCTCAATCAGGCACAGAAATCAAGACACGTCAGCTGCATTCTGTCTTTTCTCACCTTTTTTCACCCAAAAAAACAGTTCACTTTTCAATTGAAGCCACCAGCTTCGTCTTGAAAAAATTTCTGCCCAGTCAAATCCGTAATTTCTGCCCAGGAAATCAGCACGAAAACACCTCCAGAAAGCACTCAGCTTTTATGGGGTGGTGAGCCAACAGCCAGGCTGAATTCCCCAGCTGGAAAACACCTTTTTTTTTTTTTGCACATCCCCTAAACCCAAAGCGAGACAGGAGAGAGAAGGTGGCAGCTCAGTGTACCCCACGAGAGACGAAGCAGCTTGGTGCTTTGCTGCCCGGCGAGGTTATTTTAAGTTAGATAAGACTTGGGGGAACAAACTAACATCCCACAAGGAGAAAAAAATAAAATAAAAGGCAGAGAAATGCACAGCCGAAGAATTTCGCCCCAAATCCAGTTTGCTTTTCAAAGCCAAGCGAGCAGATAAAGCAGCACGAGCTCTGGACGGAGCTAGGCGGGTGGTACACAGCACCGCACACCTTAAGTTCTCTCCTCTAAACTGAAAAAAAAATAATAAAAAAAATCAGCCCCACAAATTTGGGAAGTGGGATCCCGAGGGGATTGTAGCCAGCTGGTGAGAGAGCTCGGGTACTCACTCCGGCCAGCGATTTCTGGATATTCTCCCTGGCTCTGGCAATGTCGCGGAGGATCGTGCTGGCTCCGTTCTCCTGCAAACAGTGCAGAAAGAACCGAGGTTTTTTTCTTTTTTTTCCCCCAAAAATAGGAAAACGCGGGAAACCGGTCAGGGAAAATTAATTAAAAAATAATTTAAGGGTAAGAACTGGGGGAGGGTTCCTTCCAAGGATTCAGCACGCGCTGGCTGGTGCTGTTCCACCGCTCCCCTAGCAGCAGGAACGGGGGAAAATGCCTGGAAATTCAGCGAGAAGCTTCCCCCTTCACCACCCCGGGGAGAGAGAGAGAGGAAAGGGAAACTTTAAGAAGCTTTCTAGGGAACAGACTCAACGCACAAGCAGTTAGCAGCCTTTTTGTGTCGCAGGAAGAGGTTACAGCAGCTCCGGGCTTTAAAAGGGAGACGTTTGGGACTAAAAAAATCGAGGGAAAAATATTTTGAGGTGCTCCCACTCCTCCCCTCCAGGTCATCGGTAGTGGGATGAGTTTTCCAGGCTTAATAGTGCAAGGGTACAACGAGAGGAACCTAATTCCTGGTCTTTTTGGGGTCCTGGCACCTCCCTTCCAACATCACCTCCTTTATTTGACGCAACCCCTGCCAGGAAAAGCGTAGCAGCTCCAGGACTGCAGACAGAAAGCTCGGGGAGCCTTGGAAAAAAGCAAAACCCCGAGTGGAAATCGTACAGAAACGCAGGCCCGGGTGGATAATTTCCTTCTGCACACTTTTACCTGCTGCTGCTGCGAGGAGCCGCCCAGCGGGCCGTTCATCTGCTCGTAGTACCTCCGCTCGGCCTCGTCATACTTGAACTTCTCGAACCAGATCCTCTCGTGGGCGAGGAACTCGACTGCCATTTTTCTGCAGGAAAAAAAGGGAAAAAGAACACAAAGTGAGGTCCTGGAAGAGGTTGAGGTTGGCAGGTTGTAGCGGGGATGGGAGAAGAGAGGTCTCTGTGCCTGCTGCTCGTTTCCCCCCTCTGGGGTGAGGGGTTTAAGTGAGCAGGATCCTCTTAGGAAAGCAGGGCAGGCTAATCGGCCGCCCGTCTGCCTCGCCTGACCTGCATTCGGCCACAGGGCACCGAGTGGGGACGATAAATCAGCTCCTTCCCCCCAAAAAAAGCTCTCGGAGCAAGGTTTTCTATGTGATTTTTGACGTGTGATGAAATCTGGAGGAAATTCCCCGTGAAACGCAACTCCTGACCCCGTTCCTGGTGTTATTTCAAGCTCGGACACAGCTCCAGACCCAACGGCGGTCCAAAAAGGTGGTGGGAGCGAGAATCAAGCATCACGACCCGGCCACGCCGTTCCCAGGCTATAGCAAGCGACAGAAAAGGCAAAAAAAGCCCCCCAAACCACCTCCAAAACCCCAAATCTCTCCTGTGAAACACTCCTCACCTACCCTCCTCCATCAGGTCAAGGTCTTCCACCACCTCGAAACCTTTCCCAACGCTCAAGACCCTGCTCGAGCTGCCGGACATCATTATGGAGAAAGAATCCCAAAAACAGACAAATTTCACCCAATTTTACCCCACCCCGACTTCTTTGGGGAAGGGCGAAAGGCGTAACACCTGGTTCTGTCCAGCTAAGGGGAAATTATCCTAATTAGGACAGGGTGAAAGGCTCTGAAGGTTCTCTCTAACACCCCATGTATCACGTTTCACCTTAAAACTTCTCAAACAACCCCTAGAAAACCCCGAAATCTCCTTTTTTTTTCCCCTCCGAGGGAAACTGCACGGTAATATTTGAGCGCTGACCTTCAGATGAGCTCCCCCTCATTACAGCAGCAAATTTCAGGGTTCAAAAAAAACCCTAAATGGGTGTTTAAGGCTTCACAGGGAAGCTTTTTTCCAAGAGCTCTGCCCTCGAGCTGCTCCGTTTTGGGTGACCCCCAGAGGTCACCCCAACGAGCTGGAACCCAGCTGGCCTCATCCCGCAATTAACAGCTCGCAGGGCCCGTTCCCTAACGAATTAACCAAGCAGCCTTCCCCCTCCGCGAGGCGAGGGGCTCGGGGGAAGCTTCCCCAAAACGCTTCGCCCGCAAACGGGGGGCTCCCGACGCACGCAAAGCTCAATCCTGAGCCACCCCAAAAGAAAATTCCTCCTACTTGGGTTCGGGAGCGGCCGCGCTCGGAGGTTTGGCAGCTGGCTGGGAGGGTTTTAGGACGGGAGGTTGGGGTTTTTTCGGGTTTTCTCCTGTTTCGGATGCTTTCAGAGCCTCCGAGGCGTAGTATCGAGCCTCGGCGCGGTCGTACGTGGGCTTGCTGAGCCACACGGCCTCGCTGTCCTGGTGCAGGAAGAAAAAATGAGGCTGGAGGTGCTCGGTGCTGCTCGGAGGAGGAGAACCGGTGGGCTCCGTGTGCTCAAGACCCTCTTTTTCCCCCCTGCTGGGGTTTTTCCCATCCCCCTGGGGTTTTTTGGAGGCTTCGGGGCCGTCGACGCGTTCCGCCGGGGCACCCTCGAACATGTTCTCGTAGAAACTCTTCTCGGCACCGTCGTAGAGAGGTTTTTCCAACCACACCTCCGAAACCAGAGCCTGAAAACTCGAAGCTTGGGGCTTGCCGTTCACCGTCGGGTGGAGGGAATCCTGCAAAGGGGCATCGAGGGGAGGAGGAGGAGAGCTAACGAGGTCCGGAGCCAAGCTCGGAGTAGCGGGGGTGGGCAGGGCCGTCCCGTAACCTTCATCCGGCGTCCTCGAGCCCACGTTTTCGGCGCTGGGCACGAGGGAGGGGATGGCCAAGAGGTTGGGAGGAGCGAAGAGCTGAGACCTCTGGACGAAAAGCTTCTCGGCTTTCTCGAAGTCAGCTTTGTTGAGCCAAACGCCCTGAAGCACGTGGTGGCAGGCGCTCAGGCTGCCGTGGGTGCAGGGCAGGGCCGCCGAGAGCATCCGCGGTTTTTGGGGAAGGGTTTGGGCAGCTTTGGACGCCGGCTGTTGGGTCTCAACCGCCTCCTGGCTCTGCAAATCCATCGTTTTTTTCCTGGATAAGCTCTCGGCGTGATCCTGGGAGGGTTTCTCAAACCACACGTGCTCCGTGGACAAACCCGAGAGGACCGAATCAGCCGCCTTGGGGACCGCCGCGCCTTTGGGTTTAGGAGACCTCTTCCTCTTCCTCTGCTTTTTCCCGTTCCTCCCTCTTTTCGGGTCCCCTTTGGGCTCACCCTCGACGATTCCCTCATCGTTGAGGACCCCGTTCACAGCCTCGAGCTCCGGGCACTCCTCGGGGGCAGCGGCCAGCATGGCTTCGCGCTCGTAGTGCAGCCGCTCGGCTTCGTCGTATTTGGGTTTGTCTACCCAAACTTTCTCTACCGGGCACGGAGTTTTCCTCGTCCTCATCTTCCAAAGAAGGGGCAGCATTAAAAAAAGAGAAGCACAACAGTGTAGTCGAGGCAAAAGCCAACAAAGCGAGGGCATGCAGGCTTCAGGAATTAACAGAGAGCGGACAAAAGCCACCGTGCTGTCATAATTCAAATTTAAGAGCCTAAAAATTTAGCTATTTCTTTTTTATTTGGTAAAAATTGTAGCTCAGAGAAGCAAAACCGCCTCCAAACATGCTTAATTTGTGACAAATCGGATTCCTCCTCAAAACACTTCTCTTTTGAGAACTATATAATGATTTAAAAAATAAAGGCGCTGGTTGAAGTCACCTCGAATTTCACTTTTGGGTGATTACCACCAAAATAAGGCTGCTGGGGTCCTGCTCAAAGCCCTGGGATGTAAGAGATTGGATCAAATTAGCAGGTTAGCGCTTAATTACCTGCTAGGTATCATCAACCAGGCACTGATTTGCTAAAAAAAGTAAGTTGTCCTAATTCCTGAGGATTTTTTAGAGGTCACTGCTCGCAACTGTTTGGGTTTTTGCTAGCAGAAAGCCAGCAGGGGGAGCTGACGGAGAAATTATGACAATTTGGGGTCAAAACCCAGGGTGCTGGTGAACCAAAAGCGACCCAGAGCTGGAGATCGTTCACGTAGATTACACAAAAAGATCAGTTCGGGTAAAAAACATTGCTCGTGCTTTGGGTTTTCCTGACTTAATCATACGGGACAGGGAAAAAAAATAATCAGGCAGGTTCTAGGAGATGCAGAGCATTGGAAATGGGAAAAGAAATAAAATTTTAAGCATAGAATTTCTTTCTCACGTAGCTAACGAGCAGGACAACGTGGTCAGACCCCTGGATAAAAAGAAACAGGAGGCCAAGTGCCCCTAAATCAGCTCAGCTCCCCTTTTAGCGACAGACAGCTGCGGGTTTCGTAACTGCGGCTCATTTGGCAGCCTGGCACAGATCAAAACTCAGGCAGCAACGAAATATCCGCCAGGACTCAGCCACGGCTCGCAGTTCCAGGAAGGTTTTACGAGCCTGGAGCTCAGGGAGCGACAACTGGTTGATATTTCAACCAAAAACCTTCGTCTTTTGAAGCTTTATTAAAAAAAATGCAGTTTAAATGAGTAAAGCAGTGAATTTAATTCATCGATGTACCAATTTTTGGTACAATTTTGGGGATTTTTGGAGGGGAGCATCAAGACGAGGCAACATCTGCGAGCTACACCTGAATTTTACTCCTCTGATTTCTCCCAGGCGACAAAGGAAGAAAGTAAAAGCTCCAGGCCAGCATCTCTACACCCCGATTTTCCACGGGACGGCTGGGAGTACTTACATTTTTCACTCCTACGACAGCATTAAGAGAAAATAAAAAGAGTTAAGAGAGATTTCCAAGCAGCAGCTCGGCAGCAAGGACACGAACGAGAGCTGAATGTATTAAAATCAAGTTAATTGCCCCCATAATATGTAAGATCATATATTTAATTCAACTTACAGCTGGGTAACTCGCCAGAACTATGCATCTTCAGCAGGCACCACCACAGACACCCAATTACCTTTAATTTTAAGCAATAATTATAATGTATTTATGCAAAAAGGCTCCCGGTGATGACAGGGAGCAGGGAGAGCAGGTGACAAAGGGGAGCTCGGGTGCCCCTGGTTTAAGGTAAGCAAGGACAAAGAGCAAATCCTTAAATAAATCCCGAAAATTTAAGGATTGTAGGGTCAAGTCGTGAATTTGGGGTAATTTCGAGCCAGCAATCCGCACAGCAATTTAGGTATGAGATGGGAATTGGGTGCTAGAGCCAACGCTCAGCCTAATTTTTCAGGAAAATCCTCAAAACGATGCGTGCGAGCTCGCAGAATCCTTCCAGAATTAATTAACAGAGCCACGGCCACGGGGCTGCACCTCTGCAGCCCGACGAGACGCGGATCCTCCGGTCACCGAGCATCCCGAACCGGTCGGTTCTGCACGGGAGAACAAACCCCAAGCCCAAACGACCACAAATTCCCCAGATTTTAGCTCGGAGGAACTCAAAGGGTTGTGGTTTCCTGAGATTACGGCCGGGGAAGGGTTTTGCAGAGGGAAACACCACCCAGAAGAGGCATCAGCACGCCCAAAACGCTCGTGGTCCCGCGGTGGCCAAAGCTGAGGCTCACTCGGGGTCAAAAACCCCATTTTCAATGAGTTTATAACCAAGAAAGGAGAAAAAAAACATTTTTTGTGACCAAAACACATTTCTGACCAAAAACCCGACGGGTTTTTCACTCTCTGCTCCCCACTTCCCGCGTGTTTCGAGCCAGAACAAACCTTCCAGCGCTCCAGGACAATTCCCAGAGTTAAAAAAAAAAGGCCCTGAAAAGGTCCCTGCTGTCCGTCTGTCCACCCTTTTTTATTGTTGTTCCGTGTAAGCTTTGGGTTTAAGCCATTTGGCGGCGTTATCCCCTGAAATCCTGCTATTTTTTGGGTAAAACCACGGCGCAAAACGCATCATCCCGCGGCTGCAGGTGAAAAAAAAGAAAGTTTGGTCAACTCCAAACATCAATTTAGCAGCAGCTGGTCCTTCTCTTCAGTCCAGGAACACGTTTACACTCTTCCTGATGCCAGGGCTGTAAAGAAAACGCATCTTTTTGGCTGTAAAAGTGCACGTTGCAGCTTGCCAGGGTCCTAAATCGCGGCAGAGAGGCGTTGGGAGTGCTTTCTGGTGATTCAGAGCGAGTTCAAGAGAACCCAGGCTGGGAAACTGGGGAAAAAAGAGGCTGCTTTTGCACCACAGAGGTTCCACCCCCTCCTCGACGCGGGCACCAGGTCAGCACGGGGAGCAGGAGGGAAAGGAAACGTTAAGGCTTGCGTGGTGCAGGCTTTTTTTTTGCTGGTTTCACTCCTTGAATCACCTCTGCTGGAAGAGGAAGCTCCCTGCTAACGTTTAGGCAGGGAAACGACGACGACACCAACCTCAGCCACCTAAAACCTTGCCTCTTCGCTCCCCCCTCGATTCTCACTGCTAATTAAAACACAAACCCAGGGCTTGGGAAAGCAGCAGCTGGGGGAGAGAGGAGGGCAGCAGTCACCTTCACACGGCACAGTCGACAGCAAGAGGAAAAGGAGGAGAAAAAAAAAAGCGTACCTGCAAAGTCAGGGAGGGAAAGGGCACACCTAGAGAAGGAGAGGACAGGGTTACAGCCACACAGCCCAGCAACAGTGTTTTCCTCTCTGTCCTGAGCACAAAAGGGCTGGGAACATCAGATTGGAACCGGTTGGGAAGCATCAGCAGCCTGGATAGCAAGAAATAACCCTGCAGTGGTTGAAAGGACGACCCCGTGCTGGTTTTGGTGAACGCCAGGAGGGGAAAAAAGGATGGAAAAAGGAATGAGAGCGGCCTCAACGCCTCCAGCTACCGCTGCAAATCCTCGGAAATCCCAAAAGGGCACAGGGAGCCCCCCGGGCTCTGCCTGCTCCCCCAAGCAGAGGGCTGAAGCTGGGTTTCCTGGGTGGAAAAAAAAAAAGATAATAAAGGAAAAACAGGAGCAGAAGGAGGAGGAGGAGGAGAGGGCAAAGCGAGACAAGCAGGGAAAACGTGAAGGGATTCGAGCAGAGCCCTGACACAGCAGAGCCCAGGCTGGGTCCCAGCCTGCTGCAGGGGGGTGGAGCGGTGCCAGGCACCAGTAACGGGGTGGCAGCGACCAGTAAAGCTTACTGGGAGCCTTCAGGGAGTTTAATCCACGCCGATCTCTGTCCCTTAACGAAGTAAAGATAATTGGGGGGTGGTGGGGATGGTGCAGGGCTCCAGGGTTGGAGCTGCCAGGTTGAATTTCACCCCTTGAACCCCCCAAAATATCCTTGACAAGGGTCTGGGGGACTCTCACAGCCTCCTCCTTCAGGTTTGGGGTTAAATAGGGGTTTGGGAGGCCTAAAAGCCCTTTCAAGGAGCCTAGACAAAAAAAAAAATAGTTTTTTTTGGGAGGGGGGGGGGTAGGGGGGGAGGCTGTGAGGGGGTAATTATGCTTGAAGGAGCTCACAGGGTTGATATAAGAAGGGAAAGGAGCTCAGGGATTTGGGGAGGGGCAGCACACACCCCTCTGAGGGAAAAAAAATAAAATTTTAGGGGTAAAAACACCACAAAAACTGCTCCATGGGGGGGGGGGGGGGGCACACGGGACACCCCTCCTGTGGAGACAAAAAGAAGGAGGAGACCCCACAGGGGATGGGAAAAACAAATAACCCCGTTCCCTGTGGTAATATGAGGGGAACAAACCCCAAACACCTCAGGAGACCCCAAACCCCCTCAGGGGACCCCCAAAAACCGCTGCCCGTGAGGGAAACCCCCCCCAAAACCCCCCCCAAACCCCTCACCGCGGCCTGGAAACGTGACTAGGCCCAAAGGGCAGCGCCCCCCTTGGGCTGCGAGATGCCGAAGAGGCTCCAAAAGGGGTTTAAAAGGGGAAAAAAAGGGGAAAAAGGGGGTCGTGGGGGCGGCACTCACCGGCGGCGCTGAGGCGCGGGCGGCTCCGCTCCGCTCGGCGTCCGCCGGGCAAAAGGGGGCTGCGTGTGGCGCGCGGGGGGTTGTGGGGGCGGCGCGAACCACTCGCGGCGGCGGCGGGGGGGGACGAGGTGAGGGGAGGGGAGGATAAACGGGATAAGAGAGGCAAATCGGGCAAAAAAGGGTATAGTTAAGATTATTTTATTAAGATGTGTTAGGAAAGGGAGGATAAAGGGTGAAGGGGGGTGGGGAGGCGGAGAGAAAAATCGAGGCGCCCCCCCCCGCGGTGAGAATGGTACCCTCCCAAGAGGCACGGGAGGGAATGGGGGAAGAGTCCAACTGCGCGGCGGGGCGGGGGGGGGACGAATGATGGGGGGGGGGGGGGAGAGCGCGCATGCGCTGTAAGCGCCGGGGCTGGGAGCGGAGACAAAGGCGCCCCCCCCCCCTCCCCCCCCCGCCCCGCTTATAACGCGCCCCCATGGCGGCGGGGGCGGCTGCGAGCCCGGGGGGGGGGCAGAGGAGGGGAGGGGGTTTTAAAGGCTTTAAAAGCGTTAAAATGGAAACCAGGGGGGCTCGGGGGGGAGAGAAGGGGCCGAAGAAGGAGGCTGGGGGGGCGGCGATGGCGGGGGGGCGGAGGGGGGGCGGCAAAAAGAGGGAGGAGGAGGAGGTGGTGGTGAAGGGGGGGGTGTCGGTGAAGATGGCGCTGAGGCGGGCGTACTCCATCAAGGACAAGCTGCGAGCCATCGAGAGGGTGAAGAAGGGCGAGAGGCAGGCGGCGGTGTGCCGGGCTTTCGGGGTGCCGGGGGGGACGTTACGGGGCTGGTTGAAGGACGAAGGGAAACTGAGGTGGTTCCTGGAGCAGCTGGGGGGGGAGGTGGGCACCCAACGCAAGAAGATGAGGTTGGCCAACGAAGAAGAGATCGACCGAGCCGTCTACGCGTGGTTCCTCGCCTTACGGCGGCACGGCGTCCCTCTCTCCGGTCCTCTCATCCAAGCCCAAGCCGAAGCCTTCGCCCGGCAGATTTACGGCCCCGAGTGCACCTTCAAAGCCAGCCACGGTTGGTTTTGGCGGTGGCAGAAGCGCCACGGCATCTCCAGCCAACGCATCTACGGCGAGAACGAGCAGACGCCCACCGTTCCCCCCAAAACGCTACCATCTTCATTCCCATTATCACCAGTTGCCGATACTGGGGGTTACGGGGACGAGCAGATCTACAACGCCAACGTCACCGGGCTCTACTGGAAGCTGCTGCCCCATCAACGCCCGGCTCCTCGCCACCGCGTCACCGTCCTGCTGGCCGCCAACTTGACCGGCGCCCATAAATTGAAGCCTTTGGTGGTTGGAGGCCTCCGCCAACCTCCCAGCCTCCGCCACCACAACCAGGACAAATTCCCCGCTTGTTATCGCTACGGTCCCGAAGCCAGGTTGGGACCTGCTCTACTCCGGGCTTGGTTTTTTGAGGATTTCGTGCCAGGCGTCAAGCGGTACCTGCGGCGGAGCTGCTTGCAGCAGAAGGCGGTGTTGTTGCTCAGCTCCCCGCCACCGCTCAACGGGGGCGGCCACGAGGAGCTCCCCCAGCTGCAGACCCCCGACGGCTCCATCCGTGCCCTATTCCTCTCCAAGAACCCGGCTGGAGGAGGGGGTGGCTCGGCCGGAGGGGGTGGCCGAATCCCGGCCCCGTTGGAGCAAGGGGTGGTGGCCGCCTTCAAGCAACTCTACAAGCGGGAGCTGCTTCGTTTGGCCGTCTCGTGCGGTGGTGGTGGTGGCCCTGTGGATTTCGTGAGGTCCTTTCTCCTCAAGGACATGCTCTACTTGGCCGGCCTCTCTTGGGACCTCATCCCCCCCGGCGCCATCGAGAAATGTTGGCTGCTGGGGTTGCGCGCCGCCTTCGAGCCCCAGCCCGGCGAGGAAGAGCGCGGAGATGGGGTGGAAGGGGAGGAAGGCGGCGGGGATGGCGGGGACGGCAAAGTCTTCAGCGACCTGACCCACTTGGCCGCCTTGGCCTACAAGTGCTTGGCTCCCGAGGAGGTGGCCGACTGGCTGCACTTGGACGACGCGGCCCCGGGTGTCGGGGAGGACGACGGGGACGAGGACGGCGAGGAGGAAAGCTCCGGAGGCTGTAGGGTGGAGGAGGAAGAGGAGGAGGAGGAAGAAATTGCCGGAGATGGGGCTGGTGGAGGGGACATGGGGGCCGGTGGGCTTGGGGAAGGGGGTCCCCCTTTGCTCCCCACGGCCCGGGAAGCCATCAGAGGGTTGGAGACGGCGCTGCGCTGGCTGGAGGGCCAGGACCCGCGGCAAGTGGGGCCGCTGAAGCTGGTGCAGCTCCGTTCCCTCATCAGCACGGCCCAGCGGCTTCACCGCGCCGGCAACCCCGATCCTTAGGGCCGGGATCCCTTCGCCTACCGCCCGCCTCGCCTCCCTGGGGACACCCGCGGGGTTGGGGACACCCCGTTTGTCCCAGCTCCCCTCCGTCGCGGGCAGTCGGGGTTCAGGAGGCTCAAGACGCCCGTGGGTTCCCGTGGCTGAAGAGGGGAGAGTCATATTTTAGGGCTAATGGTTTTGGGGTTTTTTGTTTTGGTCGCAGATTCCATGGGGACAGGGTGGGCGGCGTCCCACGGGGAGATGGGGTGACGGAGAGACCCACGAGGAGCCGGGACCGTGGAGGTAAAGGGGATGGCAACGCCCTTCCCGCTGCCAAAAACGGTTTCCCGCGAAACCGGGGAGATTTGGGGCTGCTTTAGGACAACTTTTGTCGTGCACTGGATTGGGACGGGGACACGGGGACAGCTGCAGATCCCCTGGTGAGGGTCGCTAGCACCAGGACCACAGGTGCCATCATCCCAGCGCCCTCCTAAAACCAAGTTTTGGGGTCCAGGCTCCTGTTTTGCCCTGTGTCTCGTGTGAGATGGGAGCAGGAACAGCTCCCGGAGCTGTCGTGAAATACCGGAGGCATCGGATGTGAATTAAGCCGCTCGTTTCTCGACCTGATTTGGATAAAATTTTAGCTTAATTAGCCGAATTGTTGGAAAAAAAAGGGGAAAAAAATAAAAATCGAGCTGACGTGCCCCGTGTCAGCAGGCGGGATGGGTGTTTTTTTTTACGTGTCGGGTCTTTGTCTCATGATTTCAGAGTTTCTGGAGATTAAATGGATTTTTATTCCCGCTCGGAGGTTGTCGTTTGTAAATGGTCCCTCGGAGCTGGTGCTCCCAAGAACGGGCAGCTCGGTGCCCAAAACGCTGCCATCTGTCCCCAAAACGCTCCAAGCTGGGGTCAGCCTTTCCTTCCGAGCCCTGTTTCCAAATACAATCCCAAAAACTGAGTCCAAGAATTCATAAAGTGGCCTTTAAAGCCCGTTTTCTCCTCCAGCTGGATGCTCAGCTTCAAGGACCTCGATAACAAGCGGGGATTTTGCGTTTTTGCGGTATTCCCATCCCAAAACGCCCTCAGACGCAGGGTCTGGTTTTTGGGTGCTCCTTGGCGCAGCCAGTTGGGACTTGATGAGCCCTCGTGGGGTCGTAACTTGAAATATTTGGTGATTTTATGATTCATCCCCCAAAAACCACGTCCCCATCCCTGTTTTAGCACCAGCAGCCACCCCGGCACGCATCCAACGTGGTGCCACCACCGGGCAGCATTTCTGTGCCACGCGGGTGCCGAAATGCCACAAGATCTCCAAAAATCCTGCCCCGGAGTGGCACAAACCCCGCTGCCGTCCCCTCCCCATGGAAAAAAAGGCCCAAAAAGACCAGAAAAAGCCAAGCCTGCCTCCGTGCCGCCCGAATTTATTGCGTCCCGGCCCTGCAGCCACGTGCGCACCTCCCGTCTCCATCCAGGTTCCCCCCAAGGGTTCGAGTGCTCCCCGTAGGGTTTTGGTCACCCCGGCTGGAGGACGAAAAGCAGCAGCACCTCTGGTCCCTGGCACCAAAGGGGAGGGGACGGAGGCGCCCGTCCCCCTTTAATCCTCTCCCACGTCGCGGGCTCGTTGGGTGGCAGCCTCCACGGCGTTCATGACGGTGGCGCGCAGGGCGCCCTTCTCCAGCTGGTGCAAGCCATGGATGGTGGTGCCCCCGGGCGTGCAAACGTCCCCCCGCAGCTTGGCCGGGTGCTCCCCGCTCTCCAGCAGCATTTTCGCCGCCCCCTGAGGGTGCACGGGGTGGCTCGGGGGGGTGAGGAGCAAAAAAAAGGGGTCGTTCCCACCCCCTCCCAACCCCCGTTTCGCTCCGGGGGCGCGCGGCGTCCTCCCGTTTTCCCCGTTTTTTTTTGGGGAACGAGGTGCTGAAGCCCCCCCGCCACGGCTTTGATCCCAAAAGGGGAAACTGAGGCAGGAGGCAAGGCAGCTCCTCCTCCGATCTGCCACCCCGTTGGCGATGCCGCGTTTATCCCGGGGTGAAACCCAGCCCTGATTCTCCCCTCGTGGCCTCGTGGCACCCGATGCTGCGTGGGGACCGCTCGCGTCCCTCTCAGCCCCGTTCCCAGCCCCGTTCCCAACCCCATTCCCACTTTCATTCCTCGCTGCCCCAAAATTTTGGCTCCGGGAGGAGGCGGTGACATTAAAAACTCGCACCAAGCCTGGACGTTGCCGCAGAATCGGGGCACCACGGGGAGAAAAGGGACGTGGGGAGCCCCCAAAACGCCGACCCCGACTCACCAGCAGCGTTTGGGCCGCGATCCTACTGGCCAAGCCCCCCGGCATCCCCATTTTCACGGCCCCCTCGGCCAGGGCTTCGGCAAAGAGGTAGACCTGGGGAAGGGGAAACAGAGAAGGGGAGAAAAAAAGAAGAAAAAGGGACCCCAAAGATAAGAGAAGCGGGGTCTCTGTGCGCTTTTGGGGGGTCTCCGGCACCGCCGTGCGCTTTTGGGGTGCGCGGCGCTTACGTAGGCGACCCCGCTGCCGCTGAGGCCGGTGTGGGTGTTGATGTAGGATTCGGGCACCTCCTCGCAGAGCCCGCAGGAACTGAGGAGGTTTTGGAGGAGGGCGGCGTCCTCGTCGCTGGCCCCCTCGCCCCGGGCGAACACCATGGCCCCCGCTTGCACCACGCACGGGAGGTTGGGCATGAGCCGCAGAACCTTGGTGCCGGCGGGGAGGAGCTGGGGGTGAGATGGGTTTAGGGTTTTTTTTTGGGGGGGTTTGGGTTTAGGGTTTTTTTTTTGGGGGTTTGGAGATGTTGGGTGTTGGCCACGGGGGGTGGAGGGGGAGGGAGGTGGTGGTGGGATGGGGATGGGGGAGTGGGGATGGGTGAAAGGTGGGGGGGGGGGAGGGAAGGGGAGGGAAAAAGGGGGAAAGGGGGAAAAGGGGAGGAGGGGAAAAAGGGGAAAAAAGGGAGGAGGGGGGAAAAGGAGGAGGGGGAAAAAGGGAAAAAAAAGGGAGGAGGGGGAAAAAGGGAAAAAAGGGAAAAGGGAAAAAAGGGAGGAGGGGAAAAAGGGAAAAAGGAGGAGGGGAAAAGGGGGAAAAGGAGAGGAGAAAGGGGGAAGGGAGGAGGGGGGGGAAAGGGGAAAAGGGAGGAGGGGAAAAAGGGAAAAAAGGGAAGAAAAAGGGAAAAAAAAGGAGGAGGGGAAAAGGGGAAGAAAAAAAAGGGGAAAGGGAAAAAAAGGAGGAGGGGAAAAGGGGGAAAAGGAGGAGGGGGAAAAGGGAAGGGGGAAAAAGGGGGAGGAAAGGGGAAAAGGGGAAAAGGGAGGAGGGGAAAAAGGGAAAAAAAGGGGAAAAAAGGGGAGGAGGGGAAACAGGGAAACAGGGAGGAGGGGGAAAAGGGGGAAAGGGGAAAAGGGGGAAAAGGGGGAAAAGGGGGAAAAGGGGGAAAAGGGGGAAAAGGGGGAAAAGGGGGAAAAGGGGAGGAAAAGGGGGAAAAAGGAGGAGGGGATAAAGGGGGAAAAGGGAAAGAGGGAAAGAAAAAGGGAAAAAAGGGAGGAGGGAGGAAACAGGGAAACAGGAGGAGGCGGGAAAAGGGGAAAAGGGAAAGAGGAGAAAAGGGGAAAGGGGAAAAGGGGGGAAAAGGGGGAAAAAGGGGGAAAAGGGGGAAAAGGGGGAAAAGGGGGAAAAGGGGGAAAAGGGGGCGGAAAAGGGGAAAAGGGGGAAAAGGGGGAAAAAGGAGGGAAAAGGGGAAAAGGGGAGGAGGGGGGGGAAAAAGGGAAAAAAGGGAGGAGGGGATAAAGGGAAAAAGGGAAAGAGGGAAAAAGGGAAAAAAGGGAGGAGGGGAACAGGGGGAACAGGGAGGAGGGGGAAAAGGGGAAAAAGGGAAAGAGAGAAAAGGGGGGAAAAGGGGGAAAAGGGGGAAAAGGGGGAAAAGGGGGAAAAGGGGGAAAAGGGGGAACAGGGAGGAGAGGGGAAAAGGGGGGAAAGGGGGGAAGGGGGAGGGAAAGGAGAGGGGAAAAGGGAAAAGGGAGGAGGGGGGAAAAGGGGAAAAAGGGGAGGAAAAAGGGGAGGAAAAGGGGAGGAAAAGGGGAGGAAAAGGGGAGGAAAAAGGGGAGGAAAAGGGAGGAAAAAGGGGAGGAGAAAAGAAAGAAACAAAATAGAGAAAAAAGGGAGGAGGAAAAAGGAGGAGGAAAACGGATGGAGGAGGAAACCGGAGAGAAAAGCAAAAAAAAAAGGAGGGGAAAAAAAAAGAGGAGGAAAAAGGAAAAGAGGAGGAGGAGGAGGAGGAGGAAGGGGCTGTGGGGGTGCCCTCACCCTCTGCAGCTTCTGGAGGCTGACGCCGGCCGCCAGGGAGACGATGAGGTGCTGGGGTCCCACCGCCGGCCGGATCTCCTGCAGGACCCCCGGCAGGATATGGGGTTTGGTGGCCAGGAAGACCAGGGTGCTCTCCTGCAGCACCTCCAGGTTGCAGTGCGTGGTCCTACAGCCCAAATCCTACAAAGCCGAGCGTCACAGCAGCCCCAAAACCCCGCAGCGTCCCCCTCCCCGTCCTCCCATCCCCATTTGGGGACCCCCCCACCCACCCCCTAATTTCACCCCGATCCCTCCAAGGATGAGACGAAGCTTTGCAAAGGGGGGAAAGGGTGCCCTAAAACCGTGACCCCAATGCGCCCCCGTGGCCCCACTCACCCGCCAGGCGTCCAGGTTCCTATCCGAGGGGGCGCTGGCCAGGATGCTGCTGGCTGGCACCTTCCCTTGGGGGGACACGGGGATTTGGGGTGGCCCCACAGCAGTGGGGACAGCCCTAGGTCCTCATGTCCCCATGTCCCCATGTCCCCATATCCTCATATTCCAATGTCCCGAGGTCCCCATGCCCTCACCTCCCTAGGTCCTCATGTCCCCATGTCCCTAAATCCCAGTGTCCCCAACTCCCCGTGTCCCAATGTCCCCCACACCCCTAGGTCCGCGCATCCCCATATCCCAATGTCCCCATGTCCCTAAGTCCCCATGTCCCCATGATCCCATATCCCAATGTCCCCATGTCCCCACACCCCTACGTCCCCATGTCCCCATACCCCCACATCCCAATGTCCCCAGGTCCCCATGCCCCAATGTCCCCCACATCCCAGGGTCCCCATGTCCCAGGGTCCCCACATCCTCAAGTCCCAATGTCCCCAGGACCCCACATCCCAATGTCCCCCACATCCCTATGTCCCTAAATCCCAATGTCCCCACATCCCCAGGTCCTCATGTCCCAATGTCCCCACACCCTAATGTCCCCACACCCCCACATCCCAATGTCCCCACGTCCCCATGTCCCTAGGTCCCCACGTTCCTAAGTCCAAATGTCCCCACATCCCCAAGTCCCAATGTCCCCAGGACCCCACATCCCAAGGTCCCCATGTCCCAGGGTCCCTACGTTCCAAGGTCCCCATGTCCCCACGCCCCCATGTCCCCCACATCCCTAGGTCCCCACGTCCCCATGTCCCTAAATCCCAATTTCCCCACATCCCGGGGTCCCCACGTCCCCAGGTCCTCATGTGCCAATGTCCCCACGTCCCAATGTCCCCACACCCCCACATCCCAATGTCCCCACATCCCAATGTCCCCACGTCCCCACGTTCCAATATCCCCATGCCCCAATGTCCCCCACATCCCAATGTCCCCACGATCCCACATCCCAGGGTCCCCATGTCCCAATGTCCCCAGGACCCCACATCCCAAGGTCCCCATGTCCCAGGGTCCCCACATCCCCATGTCCCCACATCCCAATGTCCCCACGTCCCCATGTCCCTGCGCCCCCAATCCCTGCGCCCCCAAGTCCCTGCGCCCCCAATCCCTGCGCCCCCACATCCCCGCGCTCCCCACGCCCCCAAAAATCGCCCTCACCACCCCCCCCCACATTTCCGGGCCACCCCGGGGGAGGTGACAACGTTGTCCCCAAGCCCCCCCCGTGCCCCCCCACCGTGTCCCCAGCCCCCTACCTGCCCTCAGCAGCCCCCTGGCCATGCCCCCCGCCATGCGCCCTGCGCCCACGAAGCCCACCCGCAGCTCCGGCGCCTCCATCCCGGCCCCCCCCCCACTCCGTGGACACCCCCCCCGACCCCTCCCCCGCCTCCCCATTGGTCAATCTCCCCCCTCCCCCCCCCCCTCTGATTGGTGGATGGGGCCGTAAGAGGCGGGACTTGGAGGTGGGGGGGGGCCCTGGGGTGTGCGCAGCTGCGGGTGCGCCACGTGGAGGGGGGCGCAAAATTGGGGACCCCCTTTCCCGGGGGGGGGGGGGGGGGGGGGGTGGTGGTGGTGGTGGTGGGGAGGGGCTGACCCCAACCCTATGGGTGGGGGAGTCCCTAACCCTGCCCTATAAGCTTATGGGGTGCTGGGGGGCCCCCCCTTTTTGGGGAGGGCCCCCCCCCTTCTTGGGGAGGGGGCCCTCATGTCCCCATGCCCTGCTATAGGGGCAGGGACCCCTGGGGGAGCTGTCGTCGGGGAGGGGGTCCCCACGTTGGGGAGGGAGCCCCACTTGCCCGCCCTCCCCAGGATTTGGGGAGGGGGCTGCCCTAGCTTTTTGGGTGCCCCCCCTTTATTTTTTATGCTGCAGGACCCCCCCCCCCCCCACCATGCTGCCCCCCCGTTGCTGCTGGGCTCTGCTCCTCCTCTGCGCCCCCGCTTTTGGGGGGGGGCTGCTGGGCTGGCTGGGTTTCGGCACCCCTCCCCAGGAAGGGACCCCCCCAGGACCACCACCGAGCCCTCCCCCGGGACCACCGAGCCCCCCCCACGTCCCCTTCGAGATGACGACGGGCGACGAGCGCTTCCAAGCCGAGGGGGCGCAGTGGGAGCTGTCCCCCCTGGACGCCTGCCACCGCCAGGTGTGGCCACGGGGGTCCCCTTGGGTGGGAAATGGGGGGGGCACAGGGGGTCCCCCCACTTTGGGGAGCCACCCTAGGGTGCTTTAGGGAAAAGTGCTGCCCCCCCCCGTGGCACTTTTAGGGTGAGGGCGAAACTCTGGGGTTATCTTTGGCTTTGCTTCTTGATCGCCACCCTAAAAAACACCTGGGGCGCACCGGGAGCACCCATGGGTGCCAGGTCCTGGTGACACCGGTGTCCCGGTGACACCGGTGTCCCCGCCACCAGGTCGTGGCACGGCTCCGCTCGTCCTGCGCCGACCTGAGCGAGGAGGAGGTGGCCAAACTGGGGGTGGCCCTGTTCAACTGCCAGGCCAGCGCCGAGGGCCGCCGCACCTACCCCTGCACCCCGGAGATGGTAAGGGGGCGGCGAGCCCCAATTCCCCCCCAAACACCCCCTTTAAAATCCTATAGCGGCGCCCAACCCCGCAGCAAGCAGCCTGAGCTGCTCCCCACCTGCTCTGCCTGATTTCTTACCCTCATTTTGGGGTAAAAAAGTCTTTATCCCATTGCCTGTGATGCCATATTTGTGCTCCGTCCTTGCGCACTGCTGAAATTTCCCCTCCTAAAAAAAAATAAATGGTGCTTGGGGTGGCTCCTGGAGTCCACGCTGCTCCTTGTGGCATCCCCTCTCCCTCAACTGAGCGCTTTTGGAGGGGGATTTGACTCCGGAGGGCTCCTTTTGGGGACGAAAAAGGGGTTGGGGGGTGACGCCAGTGCCCTCGTGGTGCCACCCCCAGTCGCTGGCGAGCTGCACGGCCCCCATGGACCCCGACACCTGGAGCGCCTACCAAATCGTCTCCAACCGTGCCCGTGCCGTCTGCTACGCCGCCCGGCAGCTGGAATTTCGGCGCCGCGCCGAGCACGCCGTGGCCGCCTTGGCCGCCGCCGCCTCCGACCAGCTCCACGCCGCGCGGGCCCTCAAGGTGCGCGGCGGGGTCGGATACGGGGTGGGTGGCCGCGGTGCCGCTGCCTCACCCCTTGTGTGTCCTCCCCGTGCGCAGGAGAGGCACGAGGAGCTCCGGGAGAGGATGGCCGAGGGGCTGCGGCGGGCGCTGAGCGGGCAGAAGGTGCTGGAGGAGCAGCAGGAGCGGCTCGCGGGCGAGCAGGGCAGGATGGAGGTTGCCATCCGCCGCGCGTTGCGGCACCGGGCGCTGGAGGAGCGGCTCCTCGACGGCGCGCGGCGCCGGGTGGCCCGGCTCGTGGAGGGCATGGCACGCAGCGTGGGTAAGGGTTGGTGGCCTCCAGGTGGGTGGTGACACGTCCTCGTTTGCACCCCGTGTGGATTGAGGTGGCTTTTTTCGCCCAGGGGACATCAGCAGGAGCTTGGCCACGCGGGACCGGGGGCTGCGGGACGGGCAGCGAGCCATCCTGGCCGACCTCCGGCGCCTGCAGGAAAGAGCTCGGGACGTCTCCGCACATCTAGGTTTGAGCTTGGCGACCCCAAATCCCTGGTTTTTAATCCCTTTGGGGTGCCCTCGTTATCTTTTTGGATGGCTCACCCCACCCTCGGTGCGCAGAGAGCGACCTGGCCTCGCTGCTGGCCCAGCGGAGCCGCGCGGCGCGCTCCTTCGAGGAGGTGGCGGGGACGTTGCAACGCCTCAACCGGAGCCTGGGGCTGGTGCTGGCGGCTGCCGAGGGCGTGAGGAAGGTGCAGAAGGGACTGGAGAGCCACCTGGAGAGCTTCCACGCCGCCCTCGCTTGGCTCGGTGAGTGGGGCGAGGGGTGGAGAGGTGCCGGGTGCCTTCTTTTGGGTGCCGGGTGCCTTCTTTTGGGTGCTGACGCTGGGATCTTCTCCAAATCCCTTAGGGTTGAGCCCCGGGGCCGTCCCCACCTGCGTCCTGCACGGTTCCTATTTCCTTCTGCTGGCCCTGCTGCTGGCCTTCCTCCAGGTGCCCGCGCCGCCCCGCGCCCTCCTCCTCCTCCTCGTCCTCTCCAGCGCCCTCGGCGAGCTCCGCGGCGCTGAGCCCATCGGTTTCCCAGCCCTCACCGCTCTCCTGGCCCTGGCTGTGGCAGGTGGGATGGGTTTTGGGGTCGGATTTGGGGACGTGGGTTGAGCACGCAGCGGGGTTGAGCCGCCCTAGGGTGCTGCAGCCCATTTGGGGATGGGCTGGGGGTGCTTGGCCCTCTCCCACCCTCATTTCCCTGCAGGGCACTGGGTGCTGGCGGCTGCCCTCCGATTTGCTCGGCGGATATCCCACCGGGCTGAGCCTCGCCGTCACCTCACCTCCACCCCAGAAAGGTATGGGGCGGGGGGAGAGGGGCACAGCACCCTTGGGTGCTCCTCGGATCCAGCTGAAGGAGCAGAGGTCCTGGTAGGGGGGTGGGCTGTGGGTACCCGAGGGCGTCTTGGTGGGCTTCCCGTGACCTCGGGCACCTCGTCCTGGTGGGTGGTTGGAGAAGGGACCCCCCCATGGGGAGTGGGGTCGAGGAACGGGGCGGGGAGGTGACGGAGCTCGAGGTTTTCCCCCCCTTTTCCTTCCCAGGGATTGCAAAATGGGATTGCTGCAGGAGGAGCTGGCCAGGATGGAGATGAGCTGCCTGCAAGGTGAGGGCTGGGGGGGCTCTAAAAACCCCACGGTGCCCTTGTGCCACCCCGTGGTGACCCCATAACCCCGGGACACCGCTGGGAGCCCATCACCACCCCCAATGCGTCTTGCAGAGCCCTCGTGCCTGGAGCAGCCCCCGGTGATGGTTGGGGACCCCCACGCAGCAGGGAGGACGTCGCTGGTCCCCGAAAAAAAGGGGCTGAGCTCGGTCCCTTCGCCTGGGCACCCCATCCCCAGGAGGAGCCCGTATGGGGTAAGCCCATATGGGGTAGCTGTGGGATATGGGAAATATGGAAAAAATTGTGGGATATGGGGGATAAAGGGACATCTGCAGCACCAGGGATCGTCTCTGTGCCCTAATAAACCTTTTCCTCCCTCGGCCAGGTGATTTTGGAGCCAGGTTTTGGAGCTGGGCAGCGCCGGGAACCCAAACCCTACAACCCGAGCCAGTCCTTGGCCAGCAGCACCGCGTGAGTACTGCCTGAGAGGGGACATCTCAGACTCCGGGGATGCTTTTGGGGGACTGGGAGCCTTTTTGGGGCCGTGGTGCTGATGGTTTTTTTTTTTTCTCCCCCCTCCCCAGGTCCTCATTGTCCCCACGGACCCCGTGCCGGGGGCTCACCAGGGCCGGGCAGCGGTGTCGGAAGAGAGCTGTCCCCGGGCAGGATTTGTGCCACGTCCACATGGATGGGTCCCCACGCCTCTGACCCCCCAAAATGGGGCTTTTTAACCCAGTTTTGGCTCATTTTGGCAGCTGGAGAACGCGGAGCTGTGCTCAGCACCCTATGGGTGCCCCCTTGGTGTGGGTATGGGATTCCTGGGCTCCCCCTTGAGCCCCGTGGGGCGGATACTCCTCATCCCCCCATTTTTATGCTATTTGCACAGATTTTAATAAATGCCAGTTTTATTTATAGCTATTTATTTTCCCTATTTTGGTTCCTTTCCCCCCTAAGAGTCGCTGGGAGCTATGGGGCCGTCCCCACCCCGTTGCGCTTGCCCCATGCGCCTGTGCTGCAGGAACAGCCCCCATCAGCTTTATTACAGCCTAATTACACGTAATTAGCAGCAGCTAATTAGCAGCAGCTTCCAGCCTCTGCCCTGGGGGAGGAACACGGCCAACGGGTGGCTGCTACTGCCCCATTTGGGGTCCACCAGCACTTTTGGGGTCCCCAATCCTCCCCCTACCCGAGCACGAGGTCTTTTTCCTTCGGCTTTTCTACCTAAAATGCTACTTTTTGATTATTTTTTTTCCACTCTTCCCTGCTCACCCTCAAGCCTAACCAGCACCCTGGTCCCCCTCTGGCTTTGGAAATGTCACCGTCACCCCCCCCAAAAACCCCGTCCCCTGCCCCAGCAGGGGACAACCCTGAGTGGAAGAGGATGCCGAGAGCGCCGCTCCCTCACTTCCTCGCGCTGCCGTAGTTGGCGCTGAACCAGGCGCACGTCTCCTGCACGGCTGGGGATGGAGAGGAGAGAGGATTTTGGGGATGGGGACGCAATGGGGTGGCCAAACCCTTTGCCTTTAGCACCCCCGAGGTAAGGCTGGGGGCTCTGTGTGCCCCATTTTTTTTTCTCACCTTGTTTAAAGGGGGTGAACTGGAAGCCGGGGAGGTAGCGCCGGAGCTTGGCGTTGCTGGCTGTCTTCTTGAACTGCCCGTCCGCCTTGGTGGTGTCAAACTTGGGGGGGTTAAGGGGGAAAAAATAAAAAGGGGGGGGGAAAATTTGGAGGCTAGCGGGGTTTAGGTTGCGCTCTGTGCCCCCCTCCATCCCGGTTGGGGATGCGCCGGGCACGGCTTTGCCCTGGTGTCTGTGTTTTGGGGGGGTCTCCGCTGCGACCCCACAGTCCCTGGTGGGATTTGGGGTGCCCCCGTTTGCCCTAAAGGATACGATGAGCTCTCCTTTGAAGTCCATGGCCTCCACGATGGCATCCGCCGCCTCCTTGATGGAGACCTCATCCTCTTCGCCCACTGGGGAGAACGGGGAAAACTGAGGCTTTTTTTTTTAATTATTATTTTTATTTTTATTATTTTTTTTCCCCTTTCCTTCTCACCTGACAAGATGATGGGCTCCACCTCCTCGTATTCCCGCAGCACCCAAAGGAAGAGCCGGGCCAAATCCTGATGAGAGGAGTTGAGTTGTTGGGTTTTTATTGGGGTGGCCGCTCGCCAAGCCCCAGGACGACCCAGAAAGGCTCAGCCTGGGTTAAAATCCAAGCCCCACACCTACCAGAGAGTAAATAAACTGCCTGCGGGGCTTCCCTGTGCCCCAAACGGTCAAAGCAGAGCCCGATTCTGCAGGAGAACGGAGAGAGCATCCATCGGTATCATACCTCCCAAAAATAAAAAAAACAACCCCAAAAATGCCCCAAAACTGCTCACCTTTGGCCAGGTACACCTTGTGGATGAGCCCCGGCAGCACGTGGCCGTCCTCGATGTTGAAGTTGTCGTGGGGCCCGAAGATGTTGGTGGGGATGACGGCGGTGAAGCGGCAGCCGTGCTGCTCGAAATAACCCCTTTTGGGGGGAGAATGTGGGGTGAGGGGGCTCGTGGTGCCATCCCATAAAGCAATCCTTGGGGTTTTCCCAGGGCTAGCGAGGCGAATCCCCCTAAAATCCCCCTGGCAGCTCTGGTTGCCCAGCTCAGGTGTCTCCCCAGCCCCATTAGGCACCCCTGGAGGTTTCCCCTGCCCCGATATTTTATAGGATGCTCACAGCCCTCCGGCACCAGGGTGGGTCTCCTGTGGCCCCGCACCTATTCTGGACGTCGATCATCCTCTTGGCGTAGGAGTAGCCGAAGTTGGAGCTGTGGGGTGGCCCGTTGTGGATCTGGGGGCGAGAGAGCAGAGAAAACCCGGTGGGAATTCAGCAGCCACCTCCTGCCTCACCCCACGGGAGCCGTGTGGGGTCAGAAACTCAGTGCAATTTTGGATGTGGGGAGCTGGGGTGGGTTTTGACCCCGCTGCACGCCTCGGAGAAGCCAAAAATGCTCCACGGAGAGGTTTTACCCATGGATGGGCTGGATAAAAAGGGTGGGGATTGGCAAAACGGTGCCAGGACCTGGCTCTATCCCCACGTGGGGAGGGGGACGGAGACCCTCACCATGGTCTCGTCGATGGGGTACGTCGTTTTGTCCGGGAAGATGCAGGTGGAGAGGCAGGAGACCACCTTCTGCACCCCGCACTCGTAGGCTGAGTGCAGGACGTTGTCGTTGATGTGGACGTTTCTCCTCTGGGGACAGAGAGAGAGAGAAATTTGGCATCCTCAGCGGGTGGAGCTGGAGGGGGGACCCCAAAACCCTGCACCCTACAGGGTGCAGATTAAAACCAGAGCAGATGTTTCGGCTCCAGGATGGAGCAAAATGGGTCTTGGGGTGGGCAGGGTGTCGCAGGACCCCAACGCTGCGTGCTCACCCAGAAATCCAGGTTGCAGCGGATGTTTTTGAAGAGGCCCCCGACCATGGCCGCCAGGTGGACGACGTGGGTGGGTTTGTGCTTCTCGAAGAGGGCTTTGGTCTCCGCGGCGCTCCTGGTGGGACGAAATCGCGGGGTTTGGGACAAAAAGGAGCACGGTGGGGTGGGGGGGGGTCACCCAAACTCACGTTAGGTCGGCGTCCTTGGAGGACACGAAGAGCCACTCCTCGTCCGGCCGCCCCTCTCCATCTGCCACCACCTTCTGGATGGCTCTGCCCACCAAACCGGTGCCACCCGTCACCAGGATGCGCTTGGACTTCGGCCCCGCCGCCTCCGTCATGGCCACAGCCCTGTGCCACGGGGGGGGGGAAGAAGGAGAGGGAAAGGGGGGGAGCTAAGGCAGAGCCACCTTATGGGGTCCCATTTGGGGCCACCGTGGTGGTCCCGAGCCTGGCACCGGTGCAGCTGGTGGGCTTCTTTCTTTTGCCTTCGAGCTGCTGCAGCCAGAAGAGGCAGAAAGGAAAATGAAAGCGGTGTGCCTGGCGGTGACGCTCCCGGGGGGGGCAGAAACTCGTCAGCTGCAGTCGTTAATTAATGGGAACGGGGTGGCGGCCCGCGGGCTGGCGTGCAGGTGGCCACGGGACACGGCCACACGGTGCCACGCGGCACCGGGATGGCACGGCTTCCCGGAAACAGCTGCGCCCCCCCCCCCATCCACCTTGCACCCTAAAACGTGGGGATGCGACCCCCCCACCGCACCCCAAATCCCAGGGCTGCACACCCACACCTCCCTGTGCACCCCAAATCCTAGAGCTGCACCCCAAACCCCCCCCAACACCCACCCTGCACCCCCCAATTCTACCGTTGCCCCTCCCCACGGCCCCCCCAGCACCCCAAATCCCATGCAGCCCCCCCCAGGAGCTGCCCCATTCTTTGTAGGGGGCTCAGGCCCCCCACCCCCTTTAGGGTCTTTCCCCTCCCTGCTCCCCCCCAACCCCAGGGGTGCCCCCACTCCTCTGGCACCACCACAGATGGGGTCTCCCCCCCTCGACCCCCTAAAGGGGGGTGCCCTCTGCTCCCACTCCCCCCAAAACTTGACGGGGGGGGGTCCCCCACCTGCGCCCCCTCCCTATTTCAGACGTTTCCACCCCACCCCGTGTTGGGGGCGGCCCCCATCACCACCCCACCCCCGGCACCCCCATTCCCCAAGCCCACCCTGGGCGCGGGGGTGAGGGGGGGGGAAGGCGGAGAGCTCCCCAACCCCGTGTACCCCCACCTCGGTGGATTTCCCCCCCCCCGTTATAGGGCTCCCCACCTGCCTCGGGCACGGCTCGGCTCAGCCCAGCCGCGCTTCCTTGGCCGTCACCGGGCGCCACCGCTCGGCTCCTCGGGAAATGGAGTCCAAGCAGCGGGGGCGGGCACCGAGGCGGGGTGAGGGGGGGGGGGCGGGGAGGGGGGGGTGGTGGCATCGGTGACACTCGGCTGTGCAAGAGGGGACAGGTTGGGGACCGGCATCGCGGCTCCTTGCTTGCTGGAGAGCTTTGCGCACGGGAGCGCAAATGCGTAAATGCGCACTTTACGCGCGGGCACGCTCCCGCGGAGCGGCACTCGCACGGGCGTGAGCGCGCACACGCGCGTGGCAGCTCACACGCGTGTGCACGCCCTCATACACACCCGCATTCACACGCGTGTGCGCGCCCGCACGCGTGTGCGCGCTCCCCAGGGGCACTGCCCAGGGGACCCCCCAAGCCAACGCAGGGTGCCCTGACCTCCCTCCCCCTCCCCCCCAAAGGCACCAGAAGGTTTTGGGGTAACTCAAGCTGAAGGTTTTAGGGGAACCTCAGCCCCCCCGGCAGGTCTCGCCCCCAGGACCCTAGGAAAGAGCCCCAAATTTGCTCCTCTGCTTGCCCTGAAGCTCTCAGCGCTCAGATTGCACCCGGGGGGTGGCCCCGGCTTGGAGCTGGCACCCCAGCTGGGGGTGCTGGGCAAAGCCCCCCCCGCCAGAAGATTGGGATCCGGTGGGAGCATCATTATGGGGGGGGCACGAGCAGCGCCCCAATTCCTCCTCCTGGGCTTTCCATCAGGCAGCGGTGCAGGGGAAAGGGGTGCGCAGCCTCCATCCCCTCCTCCCCAAAACAAGGGCTCGCCCAGCCCTTAAAAAAGGATTTTAACGAGCACTTTTAATGCACTGAAGCGGAGATTAAAACCCAGCAGGGCTTTCTGGTGGGCGGGGGAAGGTTTTAAAGCCCCTCCAAGCTGGCTCGTCCTTTGGGATTTCTGCTAAGCGAAGAATGGGACGTTGAAGAACGGGACTAAGGGACACCCAGGCAGGATTTCCCGCTTCTCTTCCAAAGACGTGGTCCCCTTATGGAGGAGTAGTAAAATATCTCAGCTTTTTACTCCTTTTCTCCCTCTTTCTTTCTACTGGGGGTCTGGTGGCTCCACAGACAGGCATTTCTGGGGAAAAGGGGCCCCACCGCTTGTCCCTGAACCTTCACAGAGTGGGACATTTGGGGATTAGCCCCTCGCCTTGCTCAGAGCAGCCCCCAGGGCTTTCCCAACTCCAGCATCCCCCTCCTGGGAGCCACTCCAGCCCCGCTGCTCTTTCCCCCATGAAATACGCCGGCTGATTTTACACCTGGAGCCCGTGAAGAGGCACAGAGGGTTGAAGCTGCCTCGTTTGCCCTGCAAACCTCTTTCATCCTCCAGCAGACGCCAAGAAGAAACCTCATCCCGGTGTTTTCTGCGCGGCCCCCCCCTCCACCTGCCCCAGCCCAAGGCAGGGGGATGAATCGCAGCCGCCCCACATCCAGCTGCATCCACGCTTCCAGCTCGCCGCAGCCGGTGGCTTGCGGTAAAATTCGCCGAGCCAGGGAAATGCAAAAAAAAAAAGGCCAGGGAAGGCTCTCCAGGTGCCTGTGGGTGGAGAACGGCTTCCTGCCGTACCCCGAGGCCTTCGGAGAGTTAATCACGGGTAACTCCTGTTCCTGCCAAGGCATTGCCACGTGCAGCTGGAGCTGCAGTCCGGCGCCTGGACCGCTGAGCCGCCCGCCGCCTCGCCGCCTTCCTGGGCGACCGCGGCGCTGGATTTGGGCATTGGCAGCGCTGGAAGCGATGTTAGGGCAAGGAAAGGGAAGATCACAGGGAGAGGTGTAAACGTGCACTGACCGCACGGGATGGGGGCAGGCTCTCTTGCTTCTGAAACCTGGGCTTTTGGTATAATCTAGCAAAATCTGTCGAGTATGGAAGCGTGGAGAAGACCCCGTAGCTCAAGCGGAGAGGTCTCCAGGGTGGCACAACCCGGAGACCTCGCAGCAGCCAGGGGAAAGCTTGGGTGGCTTCGTCTGATCCAGCATTTCTGCAACGAAGCTTCCTCATGGGTGACCTATTTCTCTCCAACTGGTCTGGTTTCAGCTCCAGCCCTTCTCTGCCCTCCCCGTTCCACCCAGGGAAGCGGGGAAGACGGAGCCGAGCCGCCCAGATGCTGCCCACCCCGGGGTGGGAGCCAGCTCGAAGCGATGATTCAAGGAACAACGGCCACGGCTTGCCCCAAACCCAACCCCCCACCCCCTGTCCTTGCTCTTGCTAATGATGGGAGGTTTCTCTGCATATGAAATACGAACCAATCGCAATTCAAATGAAGCCTTTCTGGCCTTGGGTATAAATAAAAGGTATAAATCTGGCTCCTGGCTTGTGGGGAGCGGCTGCTGGTGCGTTAATGCCCTCGCCACCGCTTCGCCTTTGGCCCCGCCGTGTCCAGTCCTCCCGAGGGAGACGAGGGAAAGACCCCGCGTGGCTGCAGGCTGCGGCCACTCTGCGACGAGTTTTGGGCCAGCTGAGAGTCACAACGCGAGTCAGACACTGGGAGAGGTGCCACCCGCTCCACCTGTAGCTCAGGAGGGTGAAGGTGGACCTGCTCCGGCAGGTTTCTCCTGCTGCCTGCCTGGCTTGGGGTCTCCTAAGGATGAGGTACAGCAAATATCCAGGCTGGGCAGGGAAAAGCCAAGGCGACCTCGCCTCTGGCTCCCCTGGGGGCTGCTGGCACGAGGGTGGATGGGAGGGAAGCATGCGCCGGTCCATCCGTGCTGCCAGGAGGTGGGGGATCTGGGTGGAGGACAACGTGGCTGTGAGCCTCCTCCCAAGCGCTCCCTGAACCCGTCTGAGCTGACTGTGCCCGAAACGAGCAGCTCTGGAGCAAGTTTGGGCTCAGACGGCCTCTGAAGCATGAGGCAGACATCCCGCTGGGCCTGGCTGCTCAGGCATGTCGCCGGGCTGCGGAGAGACGAGATCGGCACCCGTTCCAGTCCAAGGGTTGACGTCGAACTGGCAGAACTCCAAGGTGAACAACTCTCTCGTAAGAGCAGGTAATAAGATTTATATATATATATATTTTTTTTTTCCTTGTATTGAATAGAGATTAGTGGAAGATGAACTGAAATAAACCCCTCAAGGCCAACGAGGCACGTCTCCAGGGGAGATGAGCTATCTGCACTAAATCACGGCATGAAAACGCCAAGCAGATCCAAGCCCATTCCTCCTCTCTTTGCCTGGCTCCGAGGCAGGTGATGCTTGGTTTTGATTTCGGGGAAGGCCTTTGTTCCCAGCAAAAGCTTCGTCTTTGAAATGAGGCCGACTGCAGCTGTGTGCCGAACTCTCCAGCGCTCTGGACTCCAGCTGCTGCGGAGAGGTTCTCTAAATTTGCTTTTGATGAATATTTCAGTGCTGCCAATAGCCCCGGAGACTGCGAGTCTCACCCCAGAGCTCACCTGTTTTGCAGGAGCCTTCCTGCACGGCAGGAATTACAGAGAGCAAAAACTGAAAATAAAAAATAAAAATAAAAATAATAATTAAAAAAAAAAGAGAAGAAAAAGTGAACGGCATCGGTGATGGGCAACTGGAGGAGGAGGGAGGTGGTAGTATTTAAAGACCAGTGTTTGAGTACCCAACATGGGAAGGTGGCACAAGGGAAAGTGCCTTCTTCTCTCATGACTAGAGGGCCCATATTTTTTGTTTTTACCGATTTCATACTGCTCATCCTGTCTTTCTTAGCTATCCTCCTTATTTTGGGACCGTGGGTCCTTCCCCTTATCTTCTTAACGTACTCCCCACTGCTATGCTGCACAATCACTCTTGAATATGAAATGTTAGTGGAATTTTTCACTGCAAAAACACATTCTGCTGCAAAAACACCACTTTGTTTCTCACACTTGGGGTCCCCTACACAGGTGGCCCAGGGACCTTGCAGGAGTCAGGTTGGTGGCCTGATGGTCACCTGGGCATCCCCCCAAAACAGATCATTTGGTGACCCCGTAGCAAGAAGTGACCAAGGCCTGAGGACTCCCGTGTAGGCAGAATGGGAACCACACGGCGGGGTGGATGGTGGAACGAGGACCCTCTGCTTGGCCAGCTGAGGACTCCATGGCAAGGGGGTGGTGACATGGGCACCTTGCATGGCTTTAGCAGTCGTTTGGCGGGCAGTTTGGTGAAGATTATGTCCTTATTTTATGGGGAGGTGTTGATTGTGGGGTCCTGATGGGCACTTTCTGGAAGCTTCCAGAAGCTTCTGCAGGTGCTGGGGCTGCCAGGTGCCCTATGACTGGCAGGCTCTGGTTTTTAGGTGCCTGCTGGGGCTGTGAGTGCCCAGTTCTGCTGAGGGCCGAGGCTGGTGGCATTGCCCGAGGAGGAATGCAAGCCACAGGAATGGCAGCCCAATGAGTGATGGCCTTTGTGGTCTCTTGGGGGGGGTTGAGTGTCATGGGGTGAGGCCATTTCTCTGTCTTTGCTGAGCCTGGAGTGGGATTGGGTAGAATAGTTCGGGTGGAAGGGACCTTCAAAGATTATCCAGTCCAACTGCCTAGCCACTTCTGGGGTAAACAAAAGTTAAAGTTAAAGACATGGACCTATTGTAGCAGGTTCAGAGGAGGGACACAAAAGTGAAGAGAAGGCTAAAACACCTCTTAAAAACTGAGAGAATTGTGTTCCCACAGAAGAGGGCTTTGGGGAGATCTCATTGTGGCCTTTAAGTATTAAAGGAAGCCTATAAGAAAGATGGAAAAGAGCTTTCTACCAGGAATCTTTCTACCAGAAATCTACCATTTCAATAATGATAGCACAAAACGTAACGGTTTTCAAAAAGGAGGACGGATTTAGATTAGCTATTAGGAAGACATAATTTACTGTGAGGGTGGTGAGACACTGGAAGGGGTTGCCCACAGAAGCTGTGGAAGTGTTCAAGGTCAGGAGAGTGGAGCCAGGCTCTTCTCGGTGACACCCTGTGATAGGACAAGGGGCAATGGGTGTAAGCTGGAACAAAGGAGGTTCCGCTTAAATATGAGACAACAATTTTTTACAGTGAGGGTGACAACACTGGAAGAGGCTGCCCAGGGGGGTTGTGGAGTCTCCTTCTCTGGAGGCTTTTCAAAACCCTCCTG